GTATATAGTTGGGAAGGCCTGTATCAACAACTTTCCTAATTAGGACAAAATGATGTATCATGAGATAGCCATCAAAAGTACTGATGGCAATCAAAAATGGTTCCACAATAAAATCATTATCTAGATAGGTGCATTGCCACAGGTGCTAGGATACCAGATAAGGAATAATAATATTTTTTTCAATAAGTGTCACACATGTCACACATGTTACAAAGCGTCACATTTGGCTCTAACAAAGGCCAGTAAAGGGCTGCCTAGGTAGGGCTAATCCTCTAGGCAAAGGGTTCCCTAGCCGTACCTACTGGTTTTAGCCTAAATCTTACCACTATGGCTCTGCGCGAAAACCAGCTCTAGGGTTTTGAACCGACCGGCGTGTCCGGCGACCCGCGTGTCATGGCAGAGCTCGATGATGCGCCTCCTTGGTCCTTGTCTTTGGGGACTACGACCTTGCCGCGGAAGTACAAGAGATCGCCCGAGACGGCCCACTCGTCCGAACGTGATGAGCGGGGGCCCCGAACTTGACCTCGGACCTTCAAGAGTTGCCGGGCCGCAAGCGAGATGGGCTCCTCTAGGTCAGGCTCACCGGATAGCACTTCCTTGATGTCGTGGACAAGTTCGGACCCCGGCCCAGAGACAGTGACGGCCTCGAGCGCACGAACGTGGAAAAGCTCGGGGCGCAAGAGGGTGACGTCCGAGTTGTCTTCGGAGATGCCGTGGTCAGGCCGGCGGGAGAGAGCATCTGGGCGGCCCATCTGGCGACCTGGGACGTGGTGCAGCGTGAAGTCAAACCTAGAAAGGTACAACGACCATCGGGCTTGCCGACGGTTAAGGTGCTGCGCCTTTCGGAAATACTCCAAATTCTTATGGTCAGTCCAAATCTCGACCGGATGTGTGGCGCCCTCGAGGAAATGCCGATACTCCTCGAGTGCGCGGATGATCGCGAGCATCTCCTTGTCGTGAATCTCGTAGTTGCGCTGGACATCATTTAAGCTTTTGGAATAGAACGCTACAGGGTGCCACTTCCCGTCCGGGGCGGATTGTTGTGAAAGAACCGCCCCCGTCGCATAATCTGAGCTGTCTGCTTCAAGTCGGAAAGGCCGAGAGTCGTCCGGGATCGCTAAGACGGGCTCTGAGACGACCGCGTCTTTGATAGCTTGAAAGGCGGCGGCTTCGGCGTCTCCCCAGGTCCATTTCTGGTCTTTCTTGGTGAGCGCAAAGAGAGGCTGCGCGAGGGCCGAGAAATCCCGAATGAACCCGCGGTAGAAATTAGCAAACCCCAGAAACTGCTGGACGTCCTTCTTGTTTTCGGGCAGGGGCCATGCGGAGACCCCGGCGACCTTAACGGGATCCATTTCGACGTGGTTGTGAGAGATGATAACCCCCAGGTACTCGATTGACGATTTCTCGAAGTCGCACTTCTCCTTGCGAAGGTACAGCTTGTGCATTCGGAGTCTCCGAAGGACTTCGCGGACGATCTCGCGGTGCCTACGAAGGTCCGAATGTGCGATAAGGATATCGTCGAGGTAGATCATAACGTCTCCTGAAAGAATGAGATCCTGGAAAATGTCATTCATCATCGTTTGGAAAGTCGCGGGGGAGTTCGTCAGGCCAAAATACATCACCAAAGGTTTGAACAACCCTCGGTTAGTCCGAAAGGCCGCCTTCCACTCGTCTCCTTCTTTAATCCGGACGTTATTGAAGCCCCAACGAACGTCGAGTTTAGTGAAATAACGGGCACCCTTGAGCCTGTTGATAAGGTCATTAATCAACGGGAGGGGGTACCGGTTCTTAATCGTCATAGCGTTGAGGGCGCGGTAGTCCTGGACAAACCGAAGTCCTCCGTCCTTTTTCTTAACGAAGAAGACGGGGGAAGCCATCGGAGATTTCGAAGGGCGGATACGGCCGGTAGCAAGTCCCTCCTCGATGAACTCGTCAAGTTCGCGCTGTTCAAGGGGGGAGATCGGATACACCTTGCAATTAGCGGGCTTTGCGTCGGGAACGAGTTCGATAGCGTGGTCCCAAGCCCTGCGCTCTGGTAACGTGTCGAAGGACTCCTTGTCAAAGACGTCTTGGAACTCCTTGGCCCAGTCCGGAATTTCCGAAGGCGGGGGGGCCGAGTTACGGGCGAAGGCCTCTGCAAGGCGTTGGGACACGGTGCTCCCAGCGCGAATCTCCTCGATTGGGCGAAAGGAGGTGTAGAAGATGCGGTTGCCATCTTCAAGATGCTCGTTGTCGTCGAGGTCTGGCAGGGGACTCGGAGGGTCCGAAGTAGCTCCGAGTTCGTCGTCAGCATCGTCTGGACCGGCAATATCGATAGCGCAAACGGTGGGGAAGGCGCCCAAGAGCAAATGCGATTTGAGGAGTCGGAGGCGCCGAACCTCAGCGCGCTCGGTCCGTTCCTCGTCACGGCAAGTGGAGCAGCTTCGGGGGCATCGACTCATTTTCACCTCTTTCGTTTCCCAGTTGATCTCGGGGTTGTGTTTCTTGAGCCAGGAGTATCCAAGTATCAAATCCTGTTTCCCAAGGTGGGTTACAGCCAGCTGAACGCGTTCGGAGTGTCCGTTGTACCGTAGAACGAGGTCCGCGATTTGGCGAATAGACCCAGCATCATTGGGAGTACCGTCGACATTGTAGACCGGTATGGGTACTGAGAGATTTCGGACTGGCACGTTGTTTCGGTTGACATATTCTGTGTCGATAAAGTCCGAAGTGGCTCCGCAGTCGACCAGACCCAAGAGGGAGAGCTTGAGCGCGTTCGCAGTGGACTCAAGTTCGAGAGGAAGGTGGAGCGAGTTAACCCCAGGAGCGGCAGAGATGGTATAGCTGCCAGGTAACTTTTTCTCCCAGGCAAGTCGGCGAATCCGAACGGGGGCTTCGGAGGGGGCAGGGGGTGCGTCTTTCGTTTCAGGCTCGTTGTAGGGCAAGGGAGTTGATTCATCATACAAACAAGTGAAACGATTTATGGACGCGAACGAGGGCACACCAGTCACTCGTCGCGGGGGACAAAATCCTCTGCCAGAGCCTCCGAATGCGCCTCCGCTAAGGCCGCGGTATCGGACAGCCGCGCAAGCAGCTCTCCCAGCATCTCGTCGCCAAGTTGCTGGATTACCTCGTCAAGGATGTCCACATGGCGAACATCGGCGGGGAGCGGACAATCCCGAGCCAAGTGATTGGGGTCGCCACATCTGAAGCAGGCTCGACGAGGGGCGCCCCGAGCCCTAGTACGATCCAACTCCATAGGGACGGGAGCCGGAGGTACCGAGACGGGGGCGCGGGCCGCGGGTGGCGCAGGTGCGGCCACCGGGCGGATGGGGAACGGAGTTGCCGAACGGGCGATAGGGAATGCGCCACGTGGAGCCCCCGAAGGCGTCCGCGGGGTGGTCCCTTTGATGAGCTTCGCCCGTACCAAGGCTTCGTATTGGCGGAAAGCCCGAGTGTGCCAGCCCAGATAGTCACGGAGGTCTGGGGGGTCGTTCGAGGACGTGATGCCATTGTTGATCAGGGGGTCAAGTCCATGGCGGTACTTGGTCACCTTAACCAACGCGTCTTCGAATCCGGCAAGGTCCATTAGGTCCTCGAAGTCGTCGGTGTATCCATAGACGTCCCGCGTTCCCATGTGATAACCCGCGCTTTCCAACTTGGCGAGCACGAGGTCTTGCTCATTCTCCTCAACGAACCGAAGGCGAAACTCGGAGAGGAATAGGTTCCACCGAGGGAAGGGGAACGGGGTTTTACTTCCATGACGCTCTGCCCACTGCTGGGCAGGTCCCTCCGCCATATAGGACATGGCGTAGCGGACGGCCTTTTCTTCGCTCGGCTCTCCGTTGACCACGAAGGCCTCCGGGGCAAGCTGGGCGTAAGTCTTGACCGCGTATAGGAAGGCGCGGCCACGTTTGCGATCTCCGTTAAACGCAAACGGGGGGTTTGGCCGTAGGACCAGTTTTGAGGCGACAGTAATGTCACCAAATAACGCATCCGCGTCGGGGGCATTCGGAGATGCCGAAGGCGGTTCGGGAGCTGCCGAAGGTGGTGCGGCAGCGGAAGCCTGGGAAGCAAGGTGGGTGAGGATATTGGTGAGGTTGTCTAGTTTCGCCTCAAGTGCGTCCATGCGCGCGTCAGCGTCCGGAGCAGCTCTGGTAGACATAGCGGGCGTAAAGACGACGAGAGCAGAGGAGGAGGGGTCAAGTGGCAGGGGCGGTGACGAGGGGGGTACGGACTTGTACTCCGAGCCTGAATCAGCGCCAAACCTGGCAATCTTGACCGGTTAATCCCGTAGAGAGTTTCTTCTGCTGTAAGGGCAACCCTGGAGACTCCGACGAAAGCCTAGCAGGGGAGGATCCAAAGCGTGAATAAAAGCTACGGGAAATACACGGAGGGACCGACCTAGCAGGGGAGGATCCAAAGAGAAGAAACTCTAAGGGTCCGCCTGCTAGGGCGCCAACTATATACTGGTCGTCCGTAACTGCCGACGTAGAGCGCAGAAGGCCTGAGCGGCGTCGCAGGCTCTGTCCCAAGGTGATCGTTGGGAGGGTCTTGACGGATCGGTGATTGTGCGGGCGAAGGAGGCCGTGGACGATGGTCGGGGTGGGTCGGAGCGTCCGAGGGGGCGCCGGTCGGATGCGCCTCGGATGCGTTCGGAGGGTCCGAAGGAGGCCGAAGCGGGGGTTCCCCTGACAATTTGATATTGTGCTCAAATTCCTCTCAATTGCACCTCAAATATTTTTGGAAAGTGACCAAATTCCAGACTGGGGTGCATCTTCTAGTCCTCAGGCAGAGTAACTTTTTTTTTTCTTTTTTTTGGCTAGAATAATACTTACTTGAGGCACAAAAATTTACTTGCCGAATGCACTGACTTTCTTGTTTGTTCGTTTTTCACTTGCCCGCGAAGAGTCCCAGTTCCAGACACAGTTCATTCAGTAATGCGCCTCCTTGCTGTTAGCATTTCCATGAAATCAGCGATCAAAAGTGACGTCACGCGTTTGGTTTCTTTCCTCAAACCACAGCAAACCACCACCACCCGTCCCTCTTTTACCAGTCACGAAACCGAAACGCCTACTATGTATACCTACAAGATTGCCCTACTCGCCCTCTTCACCGTCGCCAGGGTTTGTGCCTATCCCACCACTCGCGAGCTTGCCCCTCCAGAGTCGAACGACATCGCTCCAAACCCTACCAAAGTCCCTCGCCAACTTCCGGCTCTACCGCGCCATACTGCCACAAATTCTCCTCGTGGACTCGCCATTGCCTTCTTCTCGCCCAAGTCACACGAGAACTCACACAATGTCGCTGCCAACCCTGCTGCTGTTGCGCCGTTTGCTCGTGGTGTTGCACAGCCAGATGGTGCTCCCGAGCTCGAGAAGCGTCAGATCCGCAATGCCGACTACCACGCTGCGTCCCCGCCGACCAACTCGAATCCACCCCCACCTCCCGCTCCTGAACCGCCTGCTGTCTCGCCTGATGTAAAGAAGACCAATGACTCTGAGAAGACCGACTCTAAGCCAGCTGCGAAGGAATATCCTGCCAAAGATAAGCGTGCCAATGTCGACAGCAGCCTCCGCAAGCACGCTCCCAACCGTGTCCTTTCTTCGAATGACCAGCAAGAGATTGATGGCGCCGAGACTCGCGTTGCACCTAAACGTCGCTTCACTTTGGCTTCGCGCATCGCTCGGGAATGGCAAGGGCTCGACCGACGCAGCGTCGAAGAGATGACAAATGCCAGCAACCGCAACTTTGACCACGACGCGGTGACTCGTTGGAGTCGTGAGGAGATGGGAAGGATGAAGAGATGGAGCAAATTGGAGTAGTCTGAGTGATACGAAAGGGCAGGAGTTCTATTCAAATGAGCATTTCTATACCAAATTCAATCATGGGTTGCTTGTCTATGTTTCCTTCCATGCTTGGGAGTGTCAGCGGTAGATGTCAAGTCTATGAGCGCGCGTTTAGGTCTTTCGCATCGCGGATTCCTTCTGCGAGAACGAGGAGCCTGGGAGGTGCCGAAGCCACAAATGTTTACATAAGCAGACGCCGATTTCGATCTTTTGCTTTTCCAGAGGAAAACTCAAACGGATAAACTCACCGGGCGAAACTATGGATACAAAGGAGCTAATATACATGATTATGCAGAACACGATGCAAGTGGGTGTCATGGAACAAATAATGATAAATAATGAATGGCACTCTTGGTAACACATCGTTGGATGGTGGCGATCATACAGGCACGTACACAACTCCAGCCGGGAATCACCAAGCTGGAACGACAGTCGGGCTGACCACCTCTGATTCTGTCGGACCAGACGGACGACGGAACACCAGCGGTGAATTGACCGCGGTCGAAACAGACTGGCGGCGTGGTGATCGGACTGTGGGCTCTGATGGGACTGTGGACAACGGGCTGAAGGTCATTGAGCTGTTGTCGCTTGGTCGGCGTTGCTCGATGACTGTGAGTCGGGCGATTTGCTGTGAGAGGTAGGCATCACGCCGTGACCCGGATGTCCCTGGCTCGGGAACTGGCGGGAGTGGCGGTGGGTGGCGTGGAGAAGTGGGGACCTCCAAACCGGCAAAACGGCTTGCGGGAACGCGTAGTCCAGGCGGCAATTGGTCTGTTGCTAGTCTAGCGAGCTGCGAATTGAGGTAGGCTGTCCGTCGAGACTCGCCAACTGGAGAAAAGCCGGACTCTGGCAACGCTGGGAGGGGAGGTGAACGGGGACCTATAGGTCGACTAAGAGGAGCAATTCGGAGTGGACGAAGGGTTGCTGGTAGTGGAGGTGATGGCGCGGGCAACTCCCGTACTGAATGGGAGTCGACCGATGTAAACGATGCAGCATAAACCTCTTGCCGAGCAGGAGGAAATGGTGTGATCCGTTTCGCCAACTGCTTCTCCACGTCCGCACGGTCAAACGGGTATGTGTCCCCGTTTCCTGCGGGCGTTTGCCGTCGTCGTCGGTTGACAAAGAGCATAATTGACGCGATAACAATTATCGCAACAACCGCGAGTGTGCCCACAATGATGCCCAACAAGGCAGTTGTCAGGTTGTTTGGTCGAGCCGTGGCGCTGGACGATACTTGAGTTGAAGTGGCAGAAGGACTGGTCATCGTATAAGTTGCTGGAGAATATAATGATCTACAACAGACGCGCCTATAAGTGCTCTTTGGACCCAAAGTCTTGGATGTAGATGTTCTTGAAAGGCTAGTTGTTGCTGTGGTTGGGAGAACGGTAATCGCGCTAACTGGCGAGCTTGATGCAATGACCCTATGGGCAGTTAAATCGAGGGTCAATTGGTATGGTATGCACGGACGTTGTTCCCGTTATAGCCTGAAATCTCCCATCCACACCCGGAAACGCGACCACCGTCGACACAACGCCAAAGTCAATATTCCCCAATTTCGAGCTTGAACCTCCGGCATTGTACCACAGCTCCCATCCGTCAACCGGCTCGGACCCATCCAAAGTCCAGGAAAGGGAAACTTGCTGACCGAGCGCGAAAGGGCCGCCAACAGGATCGAAGACGAGGGCAGACGCGTGCTGAGTAAAGAAGAATAAGAATAGAAAGAGAATCCCTAGGCTAAAAGATGAGATGGGTATAGAGAGCGACGAGCGGAACATACTGATGAGAGATGCGAAAATACATGAAAAGGAAAAGAAAGTCCACCCGGTGAGCGGCGGTGAACAGAAGGCCCAGCCTATCTGGGCTCGGATTCCGCGAGTAACAAAGGCAGATTCAACGAGTGGGATATGCAGTCCGAAGCCATTCAGTATATGTAGGTTTTTGCCGACCGTCGCTTCGGGTTGTTGTTATGCTGATGGCGATGATGCAGTGCCTCCCATTGGGCCATTGGTCGACGTGTGGTTATGTGAGTGTGATGCCGCGTAACCCCGACAAGAGGAGGTGACGGGACGCGTTTCGTTGTTCCCTGTTGTTCCGCTGCACGGGCTTGCCTAGCAGCAACTTAAAATTCGGGTGGCGACGGCCGATCCGCTGGTTTTTGTAACCTTCTGAAGAGTCCTTTGGAGGCATCTCGTCCATGGTTTCCTGCTTGCCCAGGCACGCTTGATGAACTGCTAATCCTCCTTCATTAACCTGCATTTAGACTGCGGGCGGTATCAGAGCAAGTGGCCCAAGGTGGCCCAGTGTGTTTGATCTTCGCCGAGGTCCTTATCGAGCCTCCACGATCCGGGACCAAGTTAACAAGCAGCATTCTGTTAAACAGTTCATTGTTTCATGGTCCTCTCAAGCCTGAGTCCTGCCATGGCTTGAGAATGTTGAGCCATAGGTGCGATCACATCCGAGCCCAAGCCGCAAATCGGAGTTCCGTGTAGGTTGCGGAGAAAGATACCCGAAGCATGTCGGGTTGGAACTCTGGCTGAGTAGCATGAGAGTTGTGAGCAAGTTTCAAGATTCGGGCAAGATTCGGGTCAACACATTGATAGCACGTGATCGGCAACTTTCTCCTTTTAGATCATGACGACGACCGCACAACTAGATTGTTTTCGTTCTACTCTCCACTCTATCTACACATCTATCTCGGACTTTCGTTTTACCCCCTCCCAACCACACATACTAGACTCCTCAACCGATGCGCTCCTCGATGCAGAGCAATCCGGTGAGCTGCTACCTGGTCTCAAGCAACTCAGGGACTCGGTTAAAATCGACCTTGATGCGCTCGAGCGGGTTGGCTTTCAGCTCACCCTTCATCCATGTCGCTCATTTTCTCCTCTTCCAGTAGTTTCTGGAACATCCCTCACGCGAAAGCTTGCCTCCACTCTCCACAAATGCACCATACTTGATCGCTGTGTGGAATGAAATCACACGCGCTCCGCCACCTCTGGTGTCTGTCATGAAGGCTTTTGCCGGCCTGCCCTCAGCGCTTGACAAGAAATCGAAGACTACACCCAACCTGGTGAAGGTCGATGTGGTGGCCGACGGAGGTTGTCGCTGGATTCGTGTGAATACGTGTGTCTACTCGATGTCTCTGATGTGAATAGCAGGACTCACCAGGCTGCGGCAGAATTAAAAATTCTCGTATACTCTTCGAGTTTTGTGAAATGGACTCGTACCTCACGGATTCCGACTCTGAAGACGATCAAACCCCTTCCCTTGCGCAAACAGAATTCGATAACTCCATTATCCGAATGGCCCGTAGCCTTTTGGCAGCAGCCAACACAAACCTGATCGATTCCGCTCCGCCTTCCATCACTCTTTGTCTCACCCGGCTCGAGCCAGAAGGAAGCGACCCCCGGATAGCACAGACTGTTTCGGTCATACGCGACATGGGAATTGAGGTACTGCTAGGGGAACGAGATGCCGGTATTGTTCCTTCAATTGCGCCAACTCCAACCATCCACCTAAGCCCAACAATAAATGTCAATCTAGATCTTTCGGTGCTCATTGCCTTTGTCTCTGATCTTACGCATTCGCCACTCCCAACGTCTGTCGAAGAAGCTCAAGCCCGTTTCCTTACCCCGCGTCCATCGGAGAGGGAGAGTGAACCGACGGTGCAATCGAGAGCGTTAACCAATCAAATCATGCAGGAGATGCTGCAGGAAATGGGAAGAGGTGGCATGTTTCAGGAGTTGCACCATAGGCTGCAAGGGCCATTTAAGTTGTGGACGACCTCAGAAGCACGTGACCGATTTATTCGTATCGTTGCCAAGATTGGCGGTCCAGGCGAAAAGAAGCGCGCCGCTGTCCTGTTTGCCGCGCCAGAACTTACTCGAGAAGAGGCAGAGGAGAGGTTTTGGGAAGGCTCGCGTTTTCAGTGCGGGTTTATTCCTTGTTTGCCGATAAACGTCTATTCTGACGACACCATCTCGTCGCCTCCGAGTCTCAATCGTTCATCGTTCTTTGTGGCAATGGAGAAAACGTGTGTCGAAATTCTCGCACTAGGCCTGGCGCATCAGTCGTCTCCCCTAAATGCAGTGAAGAAGAAAACGAAGGCCGATGCGAAGTTCAGCAACAACGGATTCCTGCGTAATCCATCCAGCGAACGGGCCATTCCGACCAAGGCCAACGCGAAACTAACTGAACATACTGTGCACAGTATGTGGTGTGGAGCTCTCCGCGGATGGACTACGCTTACGGCTAACCGATCGAGTGTTAAAGCGCTTTTGCGGGAGTTGAGAGTATTACGACCAGGCTATGGTGGTGTGCCTGAGGGAGGACAGCAAGATGCTGTCGTTTGGATCGTCGATCCACGAAGTCTGGCAGAGAGTACGAGAGCGCGCGTTAACTTACAGGCAGGGAACACGCATCCGGCCTCGTGAGGCAGAGTTACTTATACATAATCGATTTGTTGTTGTTGTTACAGGGTAATAATGCAAGCAAAGATATTTGTTGTCTGGAGGAATGGTAACGCACCCTTCCTACATTGTGACGTCACGTGTTAGGTTCTCTCTTGTCCCCACCTGACCACAAACCGCGAAGAACGAACGGCCCGTCCGAAGGGAATACCCCAGCGCAACTGACCTGGTCAGCAGACGATTGATATGCGAGGCTAGCTTCATTATCGCGCTGTTCTGCCACAATTTTCCCGAGCCGCAGGGTATTCTGGAGAGCGGCCAAGCCCCAAGCCCGTCATACAAACGTTTGGCGACGGCTTTCGCGCGGCCCGCTGTAGAATGGTGTACGGGATACTCCGACCTCAAAATATGGGGGGTTTCAAGCTCGTCTCCTCTGAACAACGCCAACCTTGAGTTGAAGCACAATGATGCTTACCTTTGCGACTCCTTTACTCCTTGCTCTTACTGCCGCAGCACGTCCGTCGTCCTATGCCGTTTGGGGTGCCGACTCCGCGATTTCACGGGGCCAGGGAAATGGACTCTCCTCCGCTGGGGCCGCACAGGTGTCATATGAGCATGGCGAGTTTCAGGTATGCTTACTAGGAGTCGCGACAACTTTGCCGATGATAACTGTCTTAGTGGGCTCTCCGATTACTCCTCGACCGTACCGGTAACCAAACATACTACAATTACATCCTGAAAGGCGCCAACAACATCGTCTACGACAATGGCACTGTCCATGGAAGCTACACGTTGGTTTCAATCAAACAATGACTTTTCGCTGACTGATTCCCAGACTCACCGACTATGTACTGGATCCCATCCGAACGGGCCCGACTTTCCTGTACCTTTACGACAAGACCGGGCAGGCGAAATGGAAAACCGCCGCCAACACCTTCCGCAGCCAACTCAACAGCCACCCGCGCACCGCAGAGGGCCAGTTCTGGCATAAAAAAGTGTACTTCAACCAAGGTACCAATTCTCTTGACGCGATTTCGTCCTCACATTGTCAGGATGGTTGGACGGTATCTATATGGGCGATGTTTTCTATACAGCTTATACCGCAAAGTTTGACGCACGGAACGCAACGGCCTGGGGTGAGAAACTCCAGAAATCCTCCTAATCTACTAACAGGCGTAGCCGATATAACCGCGCAATTCCAACTGATGTTTGATAACACCAAGCAGCTGCCGACCGCGCCAAACAACACCAACCTGCTCTACCGTAGGTGCTCAAAAGCTTTCTCAAACAACGCTGAATCGCTGCAACAGACGGATACGACTACAGTCATACCGCAGTCTGGGCCAACGCGGACCGTGGTCATTCTCCTGAAGTTTGGGACCGCGCGCTGGGTTGGTACATGATGGCCCTCGTCGACACTATCGAGCTGGCCCCACCAAGCTCCGGCGCACTCAGAACAACTCTCCTCAAAATCCTCCAAACTCTCGCGCCTCCTCTTCGTGACGCGGCAGACCCCAAAACCGGTGTCTGGTGGCTGGTCATGACGCAGCCGGGTCGCGCAGGCAACTACTTTGAGAGCTCTGGCTCGATGATGTTTGTCTATTCCTTGCTCAAGGCAGTGCGGCTCGGATACGTGCCCGATAAAGACGGGAGCATCGTCAAAGCAGCGAAGAAGGCATACAACTACGCCACCGCGAACTGGGTCATCGACAATGGGGACGGGACGATGGGGTGGAACAACACGGTGGTCGTGGGCAGCTTAAATATGGCCGGCGACTACAACGTGAGTTTGGTTCATTCTATCTTGTTTTCGTCTGCTGAGCCATTTGGACAGTACTACATCAGTCAGGCAATCACTTTGAACGACCTAAAAGGGCTTTCAGCGTTCATTCTGGCCAGTCTCGAGTACGAGTTGTTATAATCTTGCAGTTGGCCTCTCCAGAATACTAGCAATAACCTGCGCAAACTGTTGTGGATGCGTTTGTGCAGCCTGGAATTGTTTAAAAATGGAATTATTGGTTGAAAAGCTCACTAAATGTCCAGCACCGGCGATACGTGTAAGCGATGCGAGATTTTTTTCTCCTCCAACGCCTCTCTCCAGAAACTTGTCCTTGACGGGTCGCGGACTATTGAGTCGTGAGCAAGTATCTGAAGAAGAAAGAGACACTTAACATATAGTCGTCAATCGCGCCGTAGACCAGATGTGTTGGAACCCGTTTGACAATGTCTTTCATCATGCGGTAAACCACGCCGCTTCCATGGGTATCCCGATAAGTTGCTGTCTCTTGTGCTCGGGTGCATCTCAACGTTACACCCTCTTTGTCGGGGTATTCTAATGATGGCAGTGGGCGCAATCCATGGTCCTATAAGAAGTTCCAGTCTGAGTATGGAATAAGATAACACTGACCACAAAACTACGCAACACACGTTCATCCCAGGTTTTCCAGGGCTGGCGCGACTTGAACTGCTCATAGGCAGCCTCTCGCGACACCCATATATCCCGCCTGGTCTCAGAACCGCCCACGAGGAAGTCCCTCATGCGTCCTGTGTCTTCTGGTCGGAGACACATCAGCTCGAGGAGGATCAAGAGGGCAGGCTTGAGTGGGGGCTGATAGGTCAGCGCCAGGACTCTGTTTGTCTCGATCGTAAGGAGAAAAAGGTCAGATTTATTGCACGTACTGCGAGACAGCAGAAAAGGAATGGCCGATAAGGACCAATCGACGCGTTGAGAAGTCAACATCGACGCCGGTGCCGAGGCCAGTCAATAACGCGTGAATTCCGCGTCCATATTCCTGCCAACCGACTACACCGCACCAATTCAATCAGTCTTCTTGACGTGAAGTGGAAAGACAACTGACAAATTGGCTCGTAACCCCACCGCAAATCCTTTTCGTTCAAGTCCGCTGCCTCGCCGCAGTTCGGGCAGTCTACCGACCACACATCGCGTATCCTGAGGCCTTTTGCTCCGAGAGCGTAGAGGTCTTCAATGGTAGGCTCGTATTGTTCCTTGTGAAACCCAGTTGCATGCGCAAATACCAGCGTAAACGCGTCCGGGTCATCAAGGCTGGGGGACGATGGATCCCAATACCGCTTGACGGAAAGTAAAAGCGGAAAATCTGGCGCAGCGTCGAAGATGTAGCTCTGGGAGGCAAGAATAGTCATTGCCGGAAAGAAGAGAAACCGGTAGATAGGTGTCAAAGTTCATCATGTTACATAAGCATGTCAATAGATAATTACTCAGAAAGGTATCTACAAGTGTCAGAGAGGAAATATCCAGCGATGAGTTCGAGGTCCAGAAGCCTTTCCACGCAGGCCTTTTGATCATTTATGCGGCCATGAGTGATCTATTCTAGCCCTGTGAGTCGCATGATGACGCCGTCTACTTCCTTCAGTGTAAACATTGATGGAGTTGAACTCGAAATACGCTTCCACTAGTGCGCTGGGATTTTTGTCGACGAAATCTAGTCTTGTGTTAGTAGGAAGTAGTAGCGAAACGATTCGACCAACTGTCGCAGGTCCCCGGGCATCCCGATGTTGGGTAAACAGATCCGGCCCAGTCACCACCTGGAAGATAATACGGTTGAGCAACTTCGAAGCATGATGACAGACTGGACACGAACATAAGGTAAGATTGATGATGATGTTGTGGGGGGAGAAAAATTTCGGAATATTGCAGCTTGTGGAGGGAAAGTTGGCAGTGGGTGTTCCCTATTGGATCGGTTAGACGGGAACAACATCATTTGAAGCAAAAGGTATACCCAGGTAGATGTATCCACGCTTGAGCCGCCTTGGGCAACGTCAGTAGGGACCTTGGCATTTCCAGCGGACCTCGGCCAGAACCACACCTTTCCTTATGATCAGCGCTGAATTTGAGAACTATTGAATAAGGTTACCTTGATGAATGTGTTCGTTCTTTCGACTGCATACCAACCGCCACCATTGGCGTTAAATTTGGGGCCATAACTGGCCGGGAGGTCCTCATTTACCCCGCAGCCGACGTTGTTGTTTTCAGGCGTTTCCGAGTCGCAGTTTAGGTTAAGACTTGTCCTATTGGTCGGTTAGCTGCCGGAAATCCCGTATATACAGTTCCGCACCCGGTTTGGTCTCGAGATGCGGGCATTGTGCAACCTGGAGTTGTGTGCAGCGTGATTTCATTGGAAGCTTGGTCGTTGACACCCTGATGAAATTGAGGCCTCGATAAGATAATCTAGAGACACAACGTCACCTCAACAATGTCTATTTCGCCCTGAAGAGCGTCATTAGAAGCCCAAGAACCAATGCAAAGAAGCATACTTACGCCTTTCGGCCAGTTGTCCTCGTCAGTTTCCCAAACGGCTGGCCATGTTCTTCCAAACATATGAGTGACTGCTAGTGGGTACACTTGCAATCAAACACAACGTACCCGCAGCCTTGAGGCATATGCTGAATATCGAAGACGGCAACATGGGTGGTGTATGTCCTGGTTGTTCTGATGCGAACCGAGTTCCTTCCCACGTGACTACCGTCACTGATCACTGTTGTGGCATCTGCACGAAGGACAAACTTGTCCGCTGAGGCGAATGTTAGGTTCTGAGCCTCCGCCGTGGCTCTATCGACATAGTTACTACAATGTGTCAGTAATCGCAAATGAATAGACCGAACAAATAGGTACACTCTGCCATGTGTAGGCTCGTCAATGGCTTCGAATTCAAATGCTTTGTAGAAGTCAGTTCCAACGATCTTCTGAGTGCGCGAATAGGTCCCAGCGAGAACCGGTATGACAGCAGAGGCAAACGAGAAGAGCCCAAAGGATTGTTTCATGCGCATGGGCTGAAGGCTGGGTCTTCTTCGAAACTCGAAGCTCTTGCATGAATATATACTAAGCCTTATCTCAGCTGAACATCATTTGAAGTAAGAGGTATACCCAAGCACTAGATGTTTCCGCGTTTGGAGCCACAATGAGATGTTGAAATAATCCCTGGTTACAAACAGTTACCATTGGATAAGTTGGATTGAAAATCCCTGGAACTAAACACCGGTTTGCGTCGGGGGTCATTTCAATCCATGAACCTGTTTTCCAATGCTCGAATTTCTAGGCAGGGGTGCTTATCTTATCATCTTGTCTGGATTTCAGGAACCGCTACATAGAAGGAAAATGGCTAATGTACAGTCTTGTCTGGGTTATAAGCTATTTACACGATGGTCCAAGGAGGGTATGCAAGTATATGCGCGAATGGTAGTACATACCGCCGAGTCGGCTTGTATAAAGATAAGTTAAAAGCAAAACGTCAAACGAAGAGCGCCGGATTGACGCCTAAACCAAGCGAAAAGTCGAGAACGACAATTTTGCGGTCGTGAGAAGTGCTGCAACAAGTTGATAACCAAGTCATCGAAGTAACTGCCAAACCTACCTCACAATCCGTCTTGAATCAAACTTGACATCAAAAATATGGCTCGTATGACTGTCTCGCACGACTCTGATAGCTCGGCCAGTCCCAAGATCCCAAACTCGCACGCTGCGGTCATAGCTGACACTGACCAGACGGCCATTCTGAGGGTCACAAGACAGTGCTCGAACCAAGCCTTCGTGGCCAACAAGAGTACGTAGACATGCTCCACTCGAAGCACTCCAGATCTTAATCTTGCAGTCATTTGAACCAGAGATTATCAGGTCACCCTAAGGATATTAATATGACAAGTTGACCCCAGAGAGAGACCTCACCTTGAACTCGATGCATGCTAACCCACGATCATGACCCTCAAATGTGCGAACTCGTTCCCCGCTAGCAATGTCCCATAGAATCATTTTGCCATCCCCGCTTGCACTGACGATACGACCATCGTGCTGTGAGCTCTCTTCAGAGTAAGCACTTTTGCTGATAAGTAAGAACTGATGATCATAAAAACAAATGAACGCACCCGCTTTGCAACCCCACAGCGTTGACCGGACCCTCATGTCCGCGAAGGGTGCGATGCAGATCCAGGCTTTCCCTCGACCAGACCCGAATAGCAGCATCCTTCGCACAACTGACGATCCACTTTTGGTCGATCCTCAAGTCAAGGACGCCTCCGCCATGGCCACGCAACACCGCCCTAACCTCGCCGAAGACTTGAGCATCTTCGCCACCATGTTCTGTCCATAGGTCCCAAACACATACATTGCAGTCAGAGCTGCCAGTTACGAGGAACCCTCGGAGCCCACCAGTAGCCGGATGTGTCTCCTCAAGCTCGAATTTGAGACAGAGAACACTGCCCTTGTGTTGACCCTTAAAAGTACCAAGAAGACGACCCGAAGTAAGCGACCATACTTTGACACTGCGGTCGCGGGAGCCAGTGATGATGTGTGTGCGAGAGAACTCGAGACAGTAGACACTATCTGTGTGACCCGCAAGCGCCATTGGCCGCGGACTCCATTGCTCGTCGTGTAAGCCTTCCCACCGACGATCAAGCTCCAATCGGGCCCGATATAACCTGGAAAAGTCCAGTGCGAGAGGAGCGGGAAAGACAGACTCTCCAGGTGGTAATGCGGGCAATTTCTTCATCCGAATATCGGGCATTGTGCTATTCCGCCGCGAAGGGGTTGGAGGAGGTGTATATGGAGATAATGATGGTGAAAGAGTTGGAGGAGTGCCCCATCTGGCAGTATAAAGAGACCGCCACACAGAGTTGTCGTTCGCAAAACGGGCCCACTTGCGTGAGACACTGCGACAAGCGAGTAGACTTGTAAGAGCCGAGTTGGCCTGGATGACATGATCTGGAATGTCCGCAAGGACAGTGGATGCAGGAGAATGAGGGTCAGGCCGTGTTGGCGCAAGGAGGGAAAGAGTGTGAAGTGCAAGCTCGGGCGGGAGTAAAGAGAGGATGTCTGTCACGATATGCATCAGTCTCAGTGGTTATTCAAGTAAAGGTTATGCTCTAATTACCGATTCCAGTTACGGCTCTGACTGGCGGACAGAAAAAACAAGCTTCGTCGTCGATAAGCTCGCCTTCTTCACCATCGAGAGGTGGTAATTGGGAGTAGTCGATCGGTTTCGAGGTCCAAATAGAGCTGCTGCTAGAAGAGTAAGAGAAAGGCGAGGGCCTTCGTGGGGGCGAAGTCGAAAGAACATCCCAAAGGCGAGGAAGGATGGAACGGAATGGCGAGCGTCTGAATGACCATTCTTCGTCACTATCTTCATGCTGAATAACTTCGAAGCCGTGATCTGGGGAAGGGGGACGTGTGACCGTGTCTGAGTGAGGTACAGTTGTGTTCTCTCCGTCTACGAGGTCAACAAGGTCGGTTGTGGTGACGAATGGAGACCCGAGGACTGAGGACAGCAGGTGGCTGAAGCGGGCGGAGGAAGGAGTTGCAGGAGACCCTCGACCACGACGCTGTAGTCTGTGCGGCGTCGGAGTCGAGGGTGGTGTGTGGAACGACATGGTCGTCCAAGGGAGGGTTGAGACGTTGTGACTTTTGTGACCAATCCTTGTTCTTCTCCTCCAATCCATCCATTCATCGTTCTTTCACCGCTTGTTACTTCATTTATCGAGAACAAAAGGACTATGCACGGTGCTGAATCGGTCTGCAGGACGCAACAACCTCGTGCATTCTCGTTGCGATGTTGTCGTGTTTCTTCCGTTTCAATGCTAGGATCTTGGCTCGCAGCTAAGCGCTCGCTCGCCCAAAGCAGCCTATTACTGCCATTGACTCATCCGTAACGGCCACGAGTCGGTCTTCCCTGTGGGAGTCGCAGAAACCGAATCTACCGTAAAGATTATTCGGTTTCTTTGGATAGAAATCCCTTTCTTTTTACATTAGCTATCTTTTCCTTATCTATTCTTTTTGCTCTACACCTCCGTACTCGATCTTTGTATTTCTTACAACCTGAATGCCACCTTCGACAACATCCTCAGTTCATGTCGAGTCCTCGACAGACGTCCAGATTGACACGTGGTCTTGGAGCATTTGCCAGTGACCCCAACCATCTTCAAATTGCAAAAGGCCTCCTTTCGCTGCTCCTCGCCTCTCTTACCGGTCATGTTCAGCCTCCTTCGTCGGTTCTCTGGCTCGGTCATTCCACGACCTGATCGTCCTTGGGACGAAGATGGTGCGTGTCAGTTTACCTCTCACCAAATCCTTTCTCAATAACCACAGCCACCTCCAATGCCCCTCAGGTTGGAAAGAAGCGCCGAATTGTGGATGACGACCTTGACGAGGAGGAGCAAGCGCGCCAGAAAAAGGCTCGCGGCGAAACGACCAGCAATGGGGTCGATACTCCCGCCACAACTGACGGTACACCGGTTCCGGAGACGAAAGATGTGAAAGAGGTCACTCAGGGTGTTGAAGAGGTCGAACTCGACGACAAACCCAAGCCTGAAAGTGTGCCCCTTCCTGAGGAGAAAGATGGGGAACTTGACGCGGATCATTTATCCACCGCCTCCACTCCCCCTCCCGCTACCGTCGACCAAGAAAACGCGTCGGCAGAGTCACCAGCTCCCGTTGTGGATGACGATGGCGACCTTGATGCACCCACTTCTCATGAACCACAAGACGCGTCTCCTGCAGTCGTTGACGAGCCACAGTCCAAGCCAAAGGCTACGAAACCTCGTTCAAGTGCCAAATCCAAGGCAAAGACCAGGCCTGCTCCCAAAGAAGCCGAAGACCCCGTCGAAGCGGTTTCGGACGAGGTACCAACAAGTGATGCGTGAATTATTGTCTATTTCGGTGGAGGATGGAGGATATACCTCGGAAAGCTTCTACTTTTCCGCTTGATTTACTTATTGCTCTGCTCTTGTTTACTTACGACTACCACCCAGTGTATCCCTCCCATCGCTACTCCCTTGTACACGAAACGTTAATGCTTGTTGGATCTAATTTGTTGAGCGTGTTTACCCATTTCTTGCTAAACACTTTTGCCAGTGGTTGCTAGTCAACGTGCAAAGTCTCGTACTTCGACGACCACTCAACAGGCGAGTCCAACTCGCTCATGGCCTTCCAACGTGGAATTATCGTATCTGTATATGTATGACACCGAGCCTTGTTCGAAACTTCTTAATTGGCTCTTACACAACCGCCACGTTGTCTTCGACGGCCACGTTCAAACCCAATCCATTCAGGTCTAGGACCTGCTGCTACACCCTCGAATAATGATGGCTTTTTGTGAATAGGCGCCCACAACTTGCAACCAATCAAGTTTTTTCCGGGAATCAAATTGGGACCCACACACCGGCCATCGATTATGTAGTGTGGCGTTGTTGTTCTTGTTCTCGACCACTTTTTTGGGACAACATGCGCTGTTATAAGCTGTCTGGGGCTTATTCTAACGGTTTCCATCGATCCACGACTTTCCCTGCCTCACTGAGCGCTCCAAAATGAACGACCCGCAACGCCGCAGACGCCTGCCGACCCCCCATTCCGTCAGATATACTAGATACGCGGACTTTCCTTTTGGTGCGCTTGAAAAGCATGTTCTCTTACGTCTGATTTTGATGCTTTTATAGTACCACCAGTTCGGGCTCCGCTCGAACCCACAACACCATCTCCATACCTCGTCAACATGCCCAGTCGCCCACTGCCAGGCATCTCACTTAGTGCTCCCTCTGCGCTGGGATGGCGAGAGCATGTTCTGGGGCACCACCATGACCAACCGACTCCAGCAACGACACCAGTCTGGCCAACAACTCCCATGACTCCTCTCGATTCAGGCCATGTCACCCTCCCAGCCGAAACCAACGCTTGGGTTCCCGGCACATTCCCGCCCCAACCCTTTGGCACACCAGTACCTCTTCACGTCCACCCAAACCTCATTCTCAATCCAATGAACCCGACTCTTCCGGTGCTTCAGTGGGATCTGTTGCATGCGCCTGAACAAGCGCGACTTTTTACGGGCCGGGGAATCTTCAAGAAGTTAGGGAAATCCATCAGCGAAGCCGTTGTCTTTCCGGATGCATCGACAGTTTGGGTGTGTGCCGACCCAGAAAGTAGTGCGGGAAGTGCTGCGATTCTTGGCTACTGGATGGAGGTCTGGGGCCCCATTATCATCGAAAAAGCCTCGGGTTCAGTCAAAATCCTCGAGCTCCTCGATGCGGTCCGCGATTACTTCCAGGCCCCGTTGACCAACGCCGACATTACCCTCATCCGCCAATCTTCTTCCCCGATTAACCCGAAACCGCTTGTCACACTCAAAACTGCTGCATATCGGCGGGCAGATGACGCATACGAGCTAAGGGACATCTCAACGCGCTCATTTAGAAGGATAGATGTGCTTGGTATGTTTCGCCAATGGGGAGGGGTCCGTCCAATGGTGTTCCAAGACGGGAGCTGGCGATTGTTCTTGACGTTGTTGCCGTATGCCGTGCCCAGAAGGTGACGGGCTATCGTGTTCTGTCCATAAAGAAAAAAATTATATTCACAACTTCTTCAAAATAGCTGCTGAGAAATCCGCAAAGAAGGCCTTCTGGTCAACCGGCGATGCCCAGTCCTTGGTCCCCCCACCAAAGAATGTCTCCATTTGCATTCCCCTAATCCGTCCCTTGTCGCTGTCCCGAATAACAAGATTCGTTGCGTTGATGACACTCTTGCCACCCACAAAGATTTCGATGGCGCCATCCGACTTGCCCACAGTGTTCAGCTTAACGCGTTCGCTGACTGTAGTCCATTGACCCGGAGTGAACTTGAACGCGCCACGCGAAATCGAGTTGCCGAATTTGGCGTTACAGTGCGAGTTGGGGATGTCGCACATCTTTTTGTTGGCTGCGAATTGCGGGCCAAAGGATGGGTCGGGGATGTATGTGTAAAGCTCGCCAGCCCCATCAGCGCGGAACATCAACCTAGCGGAGAAGCAGCTTGTGTCTCTGCGACCGCCCGAGCAGCCGAGCGCAGTCTTGGGATCGTCTCCCCCGTCTTCATCTTTTTGTTAGATGGAAAGGTAAGCAGAATGTCACTCACACAGTCCGGGAAGTTTCCCGCCCTTGTTAAACTGGAATCCCTTCGGAAACATGATCGAGTAGCCAAACAAGGCTTCGCGTGCAGTGGTCAAATCGACTTTGTCCGGTCCTGGCGCGTAGAAGGAGAAGCCCCCGCGGGGCTGGTGAGAGGGATTGAATGAGCCCTTTGGGTATGTCGCTTGCATCGCAAGCGTCCCGTCTGGGGCTTTTGTCACTGGGTGGGTAACTCCGCTCATGATGTTGAACGACTTGAGCGTCGCGTCGGATAGGGGGAGTGCACCGGGTGCCCCAGCCAGCGTCGTCCACGACGCAAGGGCTTTTGAGCTCGGAAGAAGCTCTTTGATGGTGGGCGCATTAGTGCCAGTCGATTTGCTAGTCTTGACAGCAGCGGGCAAAGCAATAACCGAGCTTGTCGTCGCGGATAAAAGCAGAAGGGAAGCAAGAATTAAAACCATGGCGAAGAAAGGGAAGAGTAAACGGAAGAAAGAAGAAGAAGAAAGCGAACGTATGTGGGCAACCCGGCAGAGGGATCCGGCGCACCACATCGTGCTTATAAGGGAAAAAAACGGCGCAAGTACTTACCGTTTGACATTCCATCATTTGGTGTTGCGACCGAAGAGCTTGGCTAGATTTTGAATCTGCTCAGATTACTTACGACTCGTTACCTTAGATAAGCTCAAGCGTATTCCACATATCATGGCAATCGCACCGCGTCGACACCTGGCTTGAGTGTCTGGTAGCGGTATAGCAGCTAAAGATGTACCGTTAAGTCGAAAAGCATCCGGGGACCGGCGCACATCACAGTTGGCGATCGTGTCAAAACCAAACTATGCAGTGCCGCCAAGCCCGAAAAGTGGTCTTTCTTGGACAATGACGACCAACAACAACTCGACACCAATTCTTACCTCAATAAATGAATCGTCCCGGTCAGCGAAGCTGTTCTACCCTCGCTTCCAAGTTGTCCATAGTCGTTGGTGGGTTATGTAGGTAGTCAACTAAAGACCGGACTTGACACCCCTACGCATACGATTACGATGATCAGACCAACGCAATATAATCAAAGCGCCAACTTCAAGTACGGTCAATTTCTGTGAGCTTTGCAAGCTGTTCACGCTTTGAACCTTTGGACAGGACCGGCCGGGAAAGGTAGTGTTATAAAGGTTTCTCTATTTCAGTGAAAGTATCCCCCGCCTGACACCACACTAACAAGTTGAAGGTACTTCGATTTCTTCATGCTATCAGCCATGGATATGCATTGAGATCAACCCTTTAGAATGACCCAACCTGAGCAATACCCGCCTACGTCTTTTGGCTCCCGTTATCGGAAAGATTCCAGTACCTCTTGGAATTCTAGGTCCACATCTCGTAGTCGGACTTCCTCGACCCACCGCTCGCATTATGCCACCCCCACGGCCCCGTTGCCACCCAACAACAATAACTTTTTGCACCCATATACGGCAAGCTCTGGCTCCCGTAGTCGCACGAGTTCGAGCACAACGCTCGTGGATCCGTCTAACGACGCCAAAAACCCTCCGTCGACGAAAAAAGGCCCGTTCTGGCGTCTCTTCAAGGCCAAGAAGGAGATCGATCCAGATACTTCCTCCATCGAAACCGAAAAGACGCTGAAGCGTCGCTCCCGGTCCGTGGGGTCGTTTGACGTCCACCCGAGCCTGTATCATTCACGCTACGCCCCAGCAAATGTCTATGGGAATGGCGGTGCCAGCCGATCCACAAATGTTCTCTCCCCCACCTCGAACAATGGACGACTTCCCCGAGGGTGTGCCCCCGGAGTAGCCGCGCGACAAGGGGCCCACAGAGAAAGCACCGACATTCCAAAAGACTACAACCACCCTTGGTTTTATCGCAACGCGCAGGATGCCACGGAGGCGGAAGAACGTTGTGCAAAAGAGGCAGCGCGACAACAGGCGCGAAATGCAGCGAAGATGCAGACTGAGCGGATTAACGCCCTGCCTCCCGATGACGTCGAATTCAAGCGGAAGGGACCCAAGTACTTCGAGCGGATGTTCCGCTATGAGCTGGTGACTCCAGTGTACGATAGACCATGGTATCCTGAGGGAGAAAAGCAGCAGGTATGATGTCGATAGAGTTGGAATAGAAGAATATGAAAATGTGCGGGATCAGCTTCTGTTGTGCAACAACTACAGTTAGATGCGTGAGTTGAAGGAACTGCTCGCCACTCACCAAGCTGATTATGTGCCCTCGACTCTCGAGTAATATGCGGTAATATGGGCTTTGCAGTTACAGCACATGCCTAGTCAGCTGATGAAGAGGGGGTTCACAAAAAAGAAATTAGACAGCTTGTGGTACTGGCGGAGGAGCCTAGGACCGCTTAAGGAATGCTCAAGGGAAGTTTTGAGGTTGTTGGCTCTTGTAAGAAGTATTGTGCTTACGTAACCACACCACATATGTTTCCGAGTTGCCGCAATGTGGGTGATGTTAACGACAGCCATGTGATACGCCAGCAATTGCACAGTCCGTTTCCCTTACACTCTGGAGGCGTACAACAACCCCCAAAATTTGTGGCTCTTTGCGTCAGTGCCAATTATTATGCGATCTTGGCATTTCCAACTCAATGTTTTGCAGTGAGGAGACATTTTTTTTTTGTGGCACGTTTGCCAGTATAATGGCGTAAATTGCAGAATGGTTGCTTTTGTCTTTTGTTGCACCGGAATTCACGATGCCCTTTCATTGAACGATATGGAGAAGAGTAACCTCTGATATCCAGCTGTGCTCCATAGGTTACAAACACTTGGTCAAGTTTTCTACGTAGCCATACAACAATGATAAGAATACTTACACCAACTAACTCTGCTTTTTCTGCTGCATGCCCTTCGGCAGCTCCTTCACAAATGGCAAAAAGTCGCGACCACGCATATACGGCCGAAGAACTTCCGGAATCACCAAACCCTACGCGTCGTGGGATCAATTAGCGGGAAAAGCCAGTAATGAGCCACGAACCTCGGTTGTTTGGTAGTTTTCGACGAGACAGCACAGCGCTCGCTCGGTGGCACAAAGCGTCCCGTTAAGCATATGGACGTAGACTTTGCGTGCCTGGTCTTTGGTCTTGACCCCACACCTGACCTCTAGTCTTCGACTCTCTGGAATGATGTCAAGAAAGCCAATGGGCAGAAGCGACACGCACGGTAATCGGTGCAGTTGGAGCACGAAACAAGCTCTTTATGTGCACGCTGGAAAGGGAACCACGCTTCCAAGTCGTATTTTTGTGCCGCAGCGAGATTCAGGGTGCCAGAAACGATCGCAACAACGCGATACCGCAATCCCAGGCTCTGGTAGAACGCCTCGCTATTGGCGATCATATTGTCGAATGCCTCCCAGCTTTTGCTGGGGTCCGTGATGAGGAACTGCTCGATCTTCTCAAACTGGTGGACACGGAAAATGCCCCACATGTCTCGCCCCGCAGAGCCCGCCTCTTTCCTGAAGCACGTGGAGTAGCCCGCATATTTTATCGGGAGTTGGACCTCGGGTTGCTCGAACCACTCTTCCGAATGGAAGGCAGAGATGGGTTGCTCAGAAGTGGCGATCAGATACTTCTCGTCGTCCGAGGCAATGACCTAACAGGGAATCAGCGAAGGATCTTGCATTTTGCGAGTTTTGCACCTTATAAAGCTCCTCGTCAAACTGATCCAGCTGCGCTGTCTTTGCCATCTGGTCTTTGTTCATCATAAACGGTGGCTGTATCTTCTTGTAGCCTCTGTCCCGCAGAAAGTCGAGTCCATAGGCGATCAGGGCATGATTCAGGTCAATGCCATCGTTTGTCAAGAAATAACCACGGTGGCCAGCGATTTTTGCGCCGCGATCGAGGTCCATCGCATCTAATCGGAGGAGAACTTCGTGGTGGGGCATAATGTCTGTTCGGACTGGAGGCTCAGCCTCTTCTTGTGCTGGATGCCATGTACGGAGTGTAACATTGTCGTCCTTGTCGAAAGAATTGGCCTAAGCTGAATAAAATGAAAAATACTCACTTCAGTTTGGCTGACGGGTACATCCTTGCCAACGATATTCCCAATCGTGCTCGCCTTCTGTCTCATTGTCGCCTCATGCTCCTTCGAGGCCTTCCGCAGTGTCTCCACCTTAGCATCGAGCTCTTTCTTTGACGCCAGCAAGTCATCAGCATTCTCCTTCGCCTCCACAGACAGTCAGCATTTTTCGCATAGATTAACCACACCACCAGCCTTTTTCTTTAGCCCAATCTGCTTTTGTACCGCGTTCACCTCCTTCGCCACATTGTTGGCCTCGAAGTCCACTGTTTTGGCGCTCGTCAGCACTGTCACTCGCGCACCGAACGACGCGATGCACTCTTCACCCAATCCTGATACATCTGCACAACCTCATCCACCAGCTCGACAGAGTGTCCACGTTTCCGCTGAGATTCACGGATCTCCTCGGAATTCCCCCCCTTCGTGTCGATAAACTGCAGGATATCAAGCGTCATGGTGGGGATGGTGAAGTGCGATCGACTTTTTGAAGTATGCGTGACGTAATCACTGGTCGTCAAAACGAGTCATTCCACTTGAGTCGAGTTAAGAAGCAGTTCTTCGAAACAGGTTCAATTAAGCTACGTGTGCTTGTACAGTCTTTTGTGGGGGGTAGTACAGTCTTTTGTGGGAAAGAGGCTGAGCATATGCATGGACCAACACAAAGACCCAAAACATGCAAAAGTAATGGCATCTCCGTGGCTTGAACACGGGACCTTCAGATAGCAACCGAATGCTTCAGTCTGCTGCTCTCCCAGCTGAGCTAAGACGCGGCTGAGGGAGAGAAATTAGTAGAGGTGATAGCAGACTTTGGTTGGTCCAAGAACCTGGATCAGACTCGGAGCTGACATCACTTCTTATCCATAACGGCCGCTCGTTGGTTGCAACACCTATCGGACTTGCCTACTGATCCCTTAAAACAGCTACTTGAGTACGATACAATAGCCAAACTTCAAGTACATACCTAGCTCCGAACATGACCTTCTTTGTATCTTGACTCTAACTTGCATCATCTCCACTTTGTCGCATCCCCATCTGTAACCTTAACAGAGCTGAGTCCTCTGCGGGAGACTCTGTCTGGCTGTATACCCCCAGCCATTTTACTCACAAGCAAATGCAGTAGCTCTGAGTCGGACTTCAGGTCTTATCCTTTTTGCCTCACTCAATACACTGCAAACAAGTCACATTACATTAGTGAAAGAATCAAGCTGACTTCTTCCTACTGAAATTGTATATTACGACTAAAACTTGAACCAAGGCTGGAAAGTAGGGACACTACTTATGTTGAGTTTCAATGGTAAGGAAAAGGATGGAATTGTGTATGAATATGTTTACAGATTGTTAGAAATTTAGTCATACATAACTGAAATTTTTTCCTATCTAATTCAAGCCTCGAGGATAATACAACCTCACAACAAGATTCAATTAATATTCCAACTAGTTGTTGGTCCCAAGTTCCATTGCTGTCTTTTGTAATATTACCTTGGATTCGTGGTCCAGAGCAGCATCACAAGAATTCGAGACAGAAAGCAAGTGCTTGACATTGAACACGATACAAAACAAATATGCAGTTGAGGGTATGAGACCAAAAAAAAAAGAGATGACGAAAAAAAATAAAAATGGATCTAGTTGAGAAAGCCGCGACACTTTGCCGATCCGCACAGACACGGGATCTTGTCTTGCTCGAACGGAAAGTGGTAATCTGCGCCACAAGCGTAAGCAACAAGGAGGGACATAAGAATCAAACGACTCACCGTAGGTGATCTCGTCCCCAAGCTCAATATCCTGCTTGGCGTAAATTACAATCTTCTTCTCCCCGTTGATCGTGATGATTTTTGCGGTACAATTGGGGTCGCAGGAGTGATTGATCAGTCGTCCGAGGTTGCCCTTCTTGGTTGCATCCACCACCAAGTCCTCGTCAATCCTGAACAGATAGCTGCTTCCGATACCCTGCCGCTCATACGCCTTCTCCCGCTTCTCCGCCACTTGCGCCCGTATAATCTCGCCGACGTATTCGATCACCATCTCCCCTCGTGAAATCTTTTCCATGGCATACAGTCCCCAGTCGTGAATTGGCGAGCGAGCAAACCTCAGATGTTTCTTGCGAGTTTGCAGCTGATTGAACTTGAACGTCAACGTCACCTCGTTTGACGCGGCCGCCTCGCCCTTGGACAGCGCAACCGCCCTCTGGACCTGATTGATCTCTTCCAAGCCCTGGGCCCGTCTCCTGGCATTCGCACGATTCGACCGAGACGACTCGACATGTTGCGGTGGCGGTTCGTTTACAACGACTTTGGATGCCTCTGATTCTGCAGCACGTGTCTGGTATTGTGGGACATAGGCGACCTTTTCGGCATGAGAGATCTTGTAGAACCCTTCCGACCGCGCCGATCCAGTCATATGCCTGCGAATATTTGTGTCGGGAACAGGCAGTTCGTCGAAGGCTGATTCGGTGGGCTCCGCGCCAGAAAGAACAAGTTTGGCGAAATACAGGTCCTCGTCGTCCTCACATAAGCCAGCATCAAACGCATCGGGTGGTTCTTCGATTGGAGATGGAGAGGTCGCAATGGAAGAGATTTCTCGCTCGACAGAAAGTCGGAGGTCGGCAACAACGGGAGGCTCGAATGTCTCAATGTCCTCAGGCACGACAACATCGTCCACAGACACTCTCCGTTTGTCCTTCTCCTTCTTTTTCTTGGACTTGTCAACATCAAGTTTGATGCGTTTCTTCAGAGGTTCCTCTGAAATCACCTCGTCGGCAAGTGGCCGTTTCAGAGGTACATCGACCGTTTCGTCCTCTGACTCAACAAGATTCTCTTCATCCTCTGATTCGACAACCACCACCACCTTTTTTGGCTTCTTGAGGACTACTTCCTTCTTCCGCTTCTTCTTTGGCCGTTCTGGTTCTGGCTCCGGTTCTGGCTCAGGTTGGGGCTGAGCAACAACGACAATACGCGCCTTCTTGAACGACAGTGATTTGAGGTCCATCACTTTCGGTGTCGCAGGCACATCCTTGTCGACCACACTGGTGGCAATTCCAGCAGCCTTGTCCGCTTTCCACTGGTTCATCACGTTGCGCACTTCCGGTCCCACAATGCGGTCATCGATGTCTTTGAGCACGACCTTGCTCAGTTCTTTCAACACCATTTCCTGGGCTTTACTCAGCAAGTCGGTCTCCTTCCACTCCTCTTCAGGAGCAGGAGCCGCATGGACACTGAGTACCGCAGTCTGGAAACCAATAGACTGTCCGGTCAGCACACGCTCGACGCGTCGCGCAGTCTTGGCTAATTTGAACGTGATGTATATGAACTCGTGATCGCGATGAATCTGCTTTCAGCCTCAGACAAACAAGACAGACACCAAACTCGTCAACACGCACCTTGTCGACCTCGTCCTTGAACTGCTTCACCCACTCCGCAACATCATCATCAAGCACCGCATCCGTTGAAGTCTGCAGTTTTATCTGCAAATGCTCCTGACCATTCTCGCTCAACGCCGCTCGGACATCAGCCTTCACCTTCTCTCTTTCCCTTTCTTTTTCTCGTTCCTTTTCTTTCTCTCGCTCCCGATTCCGCTCCCTTTCCTCCCTCTCTCGTTCCCTCTGCCGTTGCCGCTCAGAATCCCGCTGTCTTTCCCTCTCGTCTCTATCCCTCCGCCACGAATCACGCCCCCGATCTCGGTCGCGATCCCTGTCACGACCATAATGTGAAGATGATTGTAACATAGCACGGGCCTTCTCGTCCAACTGTGGCGATGGACTTCGGTTTGTTTGTCTCCACGAATTCATTGGTCGTTGTGGAAGCCGTGCCGTGGACCATGGCCCACTCCGAGCGGAGCCGTTGACATGCTGACTCTTGTTCAACATCGGGTTCAGAGGTAATGAAGGATGCAGTGGTTTGGGGGCAGTTGGGAGTCCATTAACAACTGGGGGTGGAGGTATAGGTGGTAGCTGTGCAGACGCGGCTGACGTTGGTAGCGTTGACGGTGGCTGTATCGTTGCTGTTGACGGCGTCTGTGGCGGCTTCTCAGTGACTTTCTCCTTCTCTTTCCGTTCCTTTTTCCTCCTTTCCTCCATCTCCTTCAAATACGCCTTCAGAATCAACCCTTCAGGGTCCAACACCGCTCTGCGCTCTTCACCAACAAGACTTGCCCCCAATCCATTGACGTTTAGCCCACTACCACTCGGAACGCCGTCCTCTTTCTCGACACACTTCTTCGCTTCCTCGACCTTCCTGAACCGGACACAAACCACACCCAACGTTGCACCCGTCACGGAGTCCATCTGACGGCTGAAATGGTCGATAGTGCCATATTGTGTTAGATGAGATTGGAGTGTCTTGTTTGGTGTTAGTGGGGGGAAACCGGTGAGAAGGACCGTCGTAGGAGGTGTAGTCGGTGTGTTGGAATCGTACTATTGCATAGTCAAACGAGTGAATGTTTGGATCAATTAGACACACACCTCATAAGACATGATCCCGAATACATCTCTCGGTGGACGAGGGGGCTTGGCGGTAGCTAGCCGACGAGGATCTCGCACTGGGGGCTCCTCCTCTTCATCACCAATAACCTCGCCTTCAAACCGATAAAGAATCTCTTTTCCTTTCCCCTTTCCCTTTATCCGCTCTGCAATCACTTCGGGGGTACATCGTGAACGGACATGCTCGATCATCCGACGCCAGTACTCCGGAGACTCTTTCGCGTCTTTCTCCTTGCCATGTCGTGACGAGGAAGGGATAGATTGTAAACCATCAATAACAGGGTCGAACAGGACGCGGAATGATCGCAAAGCCGGAAATTCGCTGCGAGGCGGCGGCCATTCAGGCAATGGAGGTAATAGCGGTACTTCAGGCTTTGGTGGTGATTTGGGAGGGTCTGGGAGTAAGGTTTTGGAAGATGAAGCTACGGGCTGGTCGTTATTTGATGAAGGAAGTGTGAGCTTGGTCCTCGACGGCGTGGGAGGAAGCGGGACAACTGGTCTCGGGTCGGATTTGGGAGGTGACGGTAGTAGTGGTGGTGGTGAGCGGGGTAAGGGAGGAGAGACTCGAGGTGGTAAGGGAGGAGGTGAAGGAGGTTTTGAGCTTGGCGGTGGTGGAACGGATTCAGGTGGTTTGATCGCTGTCGGCCGCGATGGCAAAGGGTGAAATAAGGGATTCGTTTTCACTTCCGCTCGCTTTAACGTCATCTGAAATGGCTTATGCACTGGCTCTGGGGGAAGTGGTGGGGGCGCGTCATCTGGCGGGGGCGGTGGTGGTGGTTTTTCCGTGGGGGGAGGAGGCGGGGGGAGGAATTTCTGAGGGAGGCGGGGGTGGTGGGGGCGGCTCGGTTGGTTGTGGGGGTTTTGGAGTTGGTTGTGAGGGTTCTTGGGGTTTGTTTTTCGACGCGACTGTCCGTGGCATGAATCCCGCCAGCCCAGGCGGTTTCCCCTTTGACAACGCGAACATCACAGCTGGGCGTGATGAGGGCCCAGCTATCGACTCGGTTGGCGGGGCTGGTGGTGGGGGCTCGACGGGTGGGCGCGGGATATGTTGTGTATGGCCATTCGGCTATTTATTATAGTGAGCAACAACAATGAGGCCGGAAAAAGGCTAATTTACAGGTTGGTATAAGGACAGACTGCGGGGCCCTGTTGGCAGTGAACCGCGCGCTGACTCGGCCAGCAAAGCACGAGGCCCGCGGGGAGGGGCCCGGCCAGTGCCCGACATCGACGACGGAAGAGAGAGCGTAACACCAGCCAGCCACGTCGAGTAACGCCAACCATCTTTGTTTACAACCCTCATCCCATCGCTTTCGCTCGACATCATTCAAACATTCTCTGACGATTCCCATATCCAACCCCAACTTCCATCGTCGCAAAAAGGACGGTTGGCCAGTGCTCGCGCTAATCATGGCAGCCGGACATGCCTTTCATCCGACTTGCAGTGCCTTCCGAAGCTGATATCCCTCTTTCTCTCCATGACGTACAAAGCCACGAGCGGTGTCGAACGAAGGGCATAAGCAGAAAAAGAGGAAGGGCAAATCTTATTCGGTAGGCTAGGTCAAAGCAAGGTCAGAGTCTGGATTACATTGACATCCAGTCAGATCTCTCAAGACCGCCACCAGTTTCGAGCAATCCGGACTATCGGCACGAATGAATTCATGAGGATCGTATCACTCCATTCTTTAGAATTGCATTTGTTTTTATCCGTAGAACTTCATTGCCAACACCTTGTTGCAGAGGTGCGCTATACTTATCGGTCGTGAATGATAGTGGTCCATGTTCCAAGGGAAAAATTCAGAGAAAATGTGTCAGATTTATGTAACGCTATCAGCCGTCCAACCGCCTCATTTTTTTACACTGACCGTGGGAGACAATTTGGGCTCTTCGCCGTTTCAGAAAAAGTGGATTGTTGCAAGTTCTACAAAAGTACACAATAAGGGAGAGAGCATACAGCATAAGGCATAGAGTGCATAGGCATAGGTGCATGGGCAAATGATGGTACCAAGAAAAAGACCAAGAGAAATCGAGAGAAACATCGTACAATTCAGGGTTTAACTTTGTTGAAAATGCGCTTGAACAACGAGCGCGTTGGTGCTGGGGCTGGGGCCGGCGCGGGCTCCTCCTTCTTGTTGAGATAATCCCATCGGTCCTTCCGGTAGGGCCTCGGCAGCTCAGGCTCTACCCAGACGGATGCCGAGCTCGCGGCAGCCTTTGCCTGCAGATAGTAAGGCGAAATACCAAGCGTCGAGGGCTTGTTGGCTGCCGCAATGAGCTTTGCGCGGTGTGGGTGATTATGTGGGACCTGACTCGCGAGGAGGTCGTAATAGCGTTGCTGGGCGGACCGCGGCGGGCCCTCCACCACCACCTTCTTCACTTTCCTAGGCTTCGGTTTGCTTGCGGCCTCCATCATTTCCACTTGTTTGTTCACAAACTCCCGTGTCATCGCCTCGAGCTCGCGCTGGTTCTGCCCAGAGAAGTCGAAGGGGTCGACAAGGAAAGGGTATTTTTCCGCATCCGTCTCCTCGCCAACAGTCGGGATGAAGATAGGGTTTGAAAGAGGCTCTGGCTTGAGGTCGCCTACGAATTGGACGTGCAATGTCGCACTGGATTTCGCCTTGTTTTTCAAGACACCCTTGAGCACAGGCTTAGGAGTGGTTGGCGTTTGTGGCGATTGGTCTTCCGGGGGTGCCTCAGCCGGCAATGAGGCCTGTTGAGCCGGTTCTGGCGAGGTGGGTGCATTAGGTGGTGTCGAGACCGAAGGCTTGTCGCGAGGACTAGCGGCCGACTTGGTTTTAGAGGGAAGTGGAGCCGGATCGAGAGAAGATGGCACAGTGGGCGAAGAGGACTTCTGAGCCGGTTTTGACGATCCTGGCCCCATCGCCGCATCTACAGAAGACGGCACAGTGGGCGAGGAGGACTTCTGAGCCGGTTTGGGCGACCCTGGCCCCATCTCCCGCAGCGATACCGAAGACTTGTTCGCGGATTCGTAACGACGACGAGAAACGGACTCTTTTTTGGGAGGGGTGGGTGATTTAAGCTTGGTGTCAGTTGCCTTTTGGGTCGAGGAGACGGACAACTTCTTGACAGACTCTGCTTTCGGGGTCGGAGGGCTGAGCGATTTGCTTTCGGTTGGGAACTCGAAGGGGGGAGTGGTTGGCGCAGTCGAGACAGACGACCCAGTGCGGGCGCGGGATGATTGGGTCCCCACCGATGAAGTGCGAGACCTGGCAGAGGAGGACGATGACACGTTCATCCCATTGGCGAAGTCGATTGGGGTTCGGGTACAGAAAATAGCCGTATTTTCGAAACGCGGGGTAGGGGCGCGAGACCGCGGCTGAGAGACCTTGATGTCAGGAACATTGAGCGAAGAGCCCGAGCCCGACACGGTGGTCTTTTTGTTGTTGCTGGTAGTTTGCTTGTTCTGAGACATTCTCTATACGTTATAAGTGGGTGCCACCGTGATTGATTAAGTGAGGGAAAGATACCTTGTGGTTGTGCTTGGTAACGATTGGGGCGCTGAGAGAGCTATTGAGAGAGCGAGTAGAGAGTAGTGGGGGGACAATTGGAGGAGCCAGGACCTTATAAAGCCGAGTCACGGAAAGGAGTGACAACGCTTTGTTTGCATTGACTGGAGGGAACTTTCGTAATGTTCCATGGACCCAAGCAGCGGATGGCTATGCCGGATAGCCTGAGAAATCTGTCGGTCAGGCGGAATCCTACACAACTTGACTTGAATAGAGTTGACCGCGTCTCAAGAATATAACGAGGAGCGTATTGGCTGGAGTTGACAGTAATTGCCTAAAGCTGAACGAAGCTGACTCCGAGGGCCTTCACAATAGACGGTGGGCATCCCCAAGCCTGAGGTCAGAATCAGCGTTGACCATACTGCATCAGTCGCTGGGAATCTTGGGGGCAGCATAGTTCGCAAGGAGGCCGAGAGTGACAGGAAAGCGACTCGGGCGTCTACATACCAGAGGGGGCCGTATTGTGTTGCCGTTAAGAAAGTTGCGCTTGGGACTTGAGAGGATTGAAATTGTGCTTGCTTTAGCCATCGAGAAAGGTTTGGCGGATGACACTGCGGGCCATTGAGGATGCGCGCACTCACAACCAGACCGACGTCCATTGCAATCTCGAGCAACACGGTATTGAAGACGCCATGGAACAAGAAGAAGAGTCGTGTTGATCCGACATCATGATCTAATGATTCAAACTAGATTCCTTAAAAACGTTTGACGAAAGGTTCCATGTTTTACAATAGTGGCCCAAATGAAGTATTTTATGAGTCATCCGATACAAAAACGACTGTCTGTTTTTCTCTCAACAACCTAAATCTCAATTTGTAAACCCAGCGATGATTCCTGACAGCATCAATGAGACCAAGTAACAACCCGAAAAGCAATTTACCGTCATATGCAGGCTTGATGACCAGGTTCTGGATGCAATCAGTACAACTAATAAGCCCAGTAAAACATGATGGGTCTCACATTATCCCATGGTAGCGCGGCGCCTTGTCCAGAGAAGACGCCAGGCACCCAAGAGTACTGAAAGACAAGTTAATCCATAAGCAGCAGCCAAAAGAAATGCGGAAAACCTTGTCGGTGTAATCCCAAATCGTGACACCCACGCAGCCGGTGACAGCCTTGCACGCGGACACAACCGTGTTGTAGTCGGTCTGTTGCTGTGCTCTCAGCGCGGGCGTTTCGGGAAGCGTCATGCGGATATCTAATTCGGTTATTGCGATTTCGACGCCAAGCGCAGTAAAGGCCTGGTAGTTCGCAATGAGCGCAGCTTTCGATGGCACCTGCCCGACGATGAGATGTCCTTGGATGCCGATACCATCAATAGGTGTGCCAGCAGCCTTGAGCGACTTGACGAGGTTTTGCATGGCAGTTGACTTTGCGCCGGCGGAATCGATGTTATAGTCGTTAATCTGGAGGACGAATGAGGGCTGGAGGAGAGCAGGTGGTAAACCACGCACGTAAAGTTTGGCTTTAGGGTCAGCAGCACGAGCAGCAACAAGAGCAGTAGTGATGTAGTTCAGGTTGGGGACAGTACCGCCGGCCAAACTGAACACGAAACTTCTGACCGTTCCATCATCGTTGAAGGGTTCTGAGAGTCAATGGTGAGATAGACTAGGGAGTCTTATATTTGACGGACCATTAACAACGTCCCAGCTGTAAATTTGCCCTGCCCAATGTGATACCTACATAAGAGGTATCAGAGAAAAAATGAGAGCGAAATCATAATCGTACCAAAGTGCTGCAGTGGGTTTGGAGAATACTGGTCAAGGTAGATGCGTTGAAGTTGCCAGATGTAACCCATCCAGCCAGTTGGTTATACCAAACACAAGTGTGTCCACGAATAAGCTGACCGTTTTTCTTGGCCAGGGAAGTCACAGTATCGCCCTATAATCCTGAATGTTAGTGTGGATCCATCTCGAGCCAAAATATGACATTGGTGAACGTGAACACCCCTGATTCACATAGATATGAGCAACAGAATTGCAGCAGGTTGCGTAGTACCTCGAGAAGGTTCAGTAGAATCCTACAAGGTTTCTCAGCCAACTGTCTTCGACCAGCAAGTAGCAAGCGAACCCATTTCATGCTGTTTCCTGGGGTAATTTGCCCGAACAGCGTGTTGTCGCCGAGTTTTGCGACATAGGTAGCGTCAGAGAGCTCCGGGTTGTCAGTGGCACTGAGAACAGAGTGAGATGGGGAATGGTAACTGAATGACATAACCCACGAGCCAAAGTAAAGCTTCCCGCCCAAAGTTTTCGCAACGGTGTTGGATTTTGCGGTGGATGTACCGGTTGGAAGAGCTGCAGAAGCGACAGCAGATGATGTTGTCCCTGAACCAGACTAATAGACCATAAAGGACAATGGATCGGAATTGCAAGGAACATACAGGCAAACCTGTGAAGAGAGTTATTACGAATAAGCTGGAAAACTGAGTATGAAACGCACATTGAGAGTAGTATGGATTCTGGTAGACACAAGTCGAGCCAGTAACGCAAGTCTGGTAACATTTTCCTATGAGCTGTTGTCTGAGCACCTTGCAAAGTCTCGAACCGTTGGCCCTGTCCACGTCTGCCCGCCACCTTTCGCCGTGAGCCTAAGTTATCGGTGAGAAGCAAAGACAAACATTGACCCCATTGGGGAGACTGTGCGATGGCAAGAGGCAACAACGCAACGGCGGCAGCCAGAGATGTCGCGATTCTAAGCGGCATTGTTCAGGTCGAACGAGGTCTGGTCTTTGGCGTTGACGCATTTATATGTCGGTCAACGAAGCCAGACTTTGCCGGAATTTTGCCTAGCGGGCCAAACCAAGGCCAAACTGACCCATGACAACCTGTGTTCGGGCGAATGTCGGCTAGGATCTATCAGCAAGACAGATATAATATGGTCTGGTGAGCGGTGAGCACCAGTCAGTCGATATCCATAACGAGAACAGACTCGACTGCTTGGTCTTCGAATGGTACATCAGAGAAGGGAGCAAAAAGGCGAGGTTGACGCGTTGGTGACGTGAGGGCCGATCACTCGCTCGCGTCTTGGTCCCAAACCTCAACTCTAACTTGAATGCAGACCTAAACCAGTCAAACGACGGCATGTTTCGTCGTATCTGGCTAGGGAGAAGCGCCCTCAGAGCCCCATTGCGCAGATATACGGACTCAGCACTCCCACTTACTTCCCATCGCGCCAAACTCTTCATTGACGCGCTTCCCACTTCCCACCATTACTGGCAGGTACTTACACTCCAAAAATATGCGGAAATCTTCCTCCAGGACGACATCATTGCGAACCTTCGCGCCCGGCTAGCCAATATAACGGCGTACGGGTTTTCTGTTGTTGATATGACGCCCCACAACAAGGAGGGCGGCATATTCGTAACTTTCGAGTACCGTGCAACGGACAAGGAGGCCGCTCTCAAAGCTATCGAAAAGGAGATAGAGGCCGAAACTTTCAAACATGGTGGATTGCCTTCTTGGATGCCTGGTTTTCGTCGGGCACGGGCATGGCTGGTGAAAGGTGAACCGTGGATTGAGGTCAGCACACATTTTCCATCCCATTTATATTAATCGGCATCTAGGACATGTGGCGCTTGCCTACGCAATTTCTCAACATCCACTTTGACGGTCCCGACGTGGATGAGGAGCGCATATACCACTTGCTCCGCCCATACGGACCCATTGTCAACATAATGCAACCCGAGACCTTCCCAGCTGGTACCCGACGATATATGACAGCGATTTTCCGCGAAGGGAGAGATGCAGTCAATGCAAGAAACGCGCTCCATGGAATTCGGGTTGAGAGCAGCACCAGCTCCGCGTCAACAACGCTGCATATGTTGTACACCCCACGTCATATATGGGGCGATAGGGTACACTTGTCGCCAGCCGTCTCTCCGAGCTAATATGTTCCAGCCTTCCGTTATTGACTGGTTATCCAAACATCCACGAATCTCACTCCCCCTCTTTTTCTTTATTCTTGGTGGCATTTCTTACGCAGTAAGATAACCCTTAGGCTCTCTCTCGCAGTTCTGACCCCAGTGTAGATATTCGATCCCATACGATCTATCATGATCAAAGCGAAGATGCAAGACTGGTTTGTCATCCAAGGTTTGGATCATCCCACAACAACATTCATTGCTCAAAGCTCTTCCTAGAATATGGCATATATCGTTGGCTTCGGGAGAAGTCGAGAGCTTTACGCATTATTGAACCTGAGCCGGAACACAAGACAGAGGATGTCTGGAAGGAGCGTGAAGAAGCGAAGAAAGCCACGCGAGCTTATATCGCCGACTGGCCGACAACTGTCGCCTTTGTTCACGGACCTCAGGGCAGTGGGAAGAGCAGTCTGATGAATGCCGTCCTGAGCGAGAACAAACGGACTGTGCTGACGATTGACTGTCGGGAGCTGCAAGATGCTACTTCTGACGTACAAGTCATTGATATCCTCGCCAGACAAGTGGGCTACTGGCCGGTCTTCTCCTTCCTCAACTCGATCAATCAAATCGTGGATATGGTGACGGTCGGGATAATGGGCCAGAAAGGCGCGTTTTTGATTCAGTCCTACATCGTGCGTTTGATAAAGCTTCAGCAAACATCAGTAGCTCAAACTCCTTGCCCGAACAATTACGATCGATGCTGCTTATTGTCAGAAGCGCAATCAAAAGTGTCGGGGGTTCACATAAGCGAGATGCTGAGCGCCACGCCCAACGTGCTGCGCAGAAAGAGGAATTGGCTCAAGCCAACGCGCGTCGTATGGAGCGGATCCAACGCGGTGCATGGCATGATGGTCGATTGGACTGTGTTGCTGGAAACGGTGTCATGGCAGAGTTAGGTGTCGGTGATGAAGCGTTCGACGATCCGGATGACCTGGAAGTCGTTCACCGCAAGGAGGTGGAGAAGCGGACACCCTATCCGAAAGGAAAGGCGGAACTGCAGGCTCTATATTCGCTGCCCGTTGTTGTCATCAAGCATTTTGAAGGAGGGTCGAGGCGCGAGGAAATCTTTGATGTGTTAGCAGAATGGGCCGCTTCGTTGGCCGAACTTCAGGTGCGGCATATTAGAGGCCTAACTATGCGTATTCTCACGATTTAGCTTGCACATGTCATTGTTGTCAGCGACAATCGAGAAAATGGCAAGCGTCTTGCAAAAGGTGCTTCGCCCATAATTTTCCTCCGATGTACTTACCTTATGCAGCACTTCCTTCGAAGCCGTTGCAAACCATCACCCTCAGCGACGCAGACGCACCGAGCGCGTTGGCATTCGTCAAGCGCAAACTTGAGGATGCTCACATCAGCCTCAAGTATACTCATGAACAAGTGACATCTGTTCAGAAGCTTGGTGGTCGGGCCAGTGATCTTGATAGTGTCTGTTGTCCTTTTCGCAGGCGGATATACTCTGATAATATCCAAAGCTTGTTTACAAGGTTCGCAATGGCGCTACGGTTCCGGAGGCAGTGGAAGACATCATAGCTCGAGGTGTCAATGAGCTCCAGAAGAATGCATTTGCTGATGATGCAGAGGAGGCGAAACAACTACCATGGACACGCGAACAGGCATGGACGCTTTTCAAGCTTCTTTCCAAGCAATCGGAGGTGCGATTCCAGTATCTGTTCCCCGTCTGTCCGTTGAAGTTGCCTAGATCAATTACCACGAGGCTCTTTTAGAGTTCCCTTTCAAAGGCGATGAGGCACCCCTTCGCAGTTTAGAGCATGCTGAAATCATTGCGATCGGTACACACAATGGTTCGTGCTTTTCAAATCTGTTATTATGTATTTCTCAGAATTTCCTACAGGGGTAGGTGGCTGGTGAATTTGCGTAGAGCGTCTTTTAATCTTTGCGCAGCGGCCATCGACCATAAAACCCGGTCGCCCGGTTTACACATACGTCTTCCAGCGGCTCGTCAATGGTGATCACAAGTTTTTTACTGTGGTGAAATAGCTGAAGTGCTTTGTAGATCCAATATTCCGCGCCACGCAAGATATTGCCTTCAACGAAAAGCTTATCCTAAGCCAGGAGAGCACGATAAAAGCATGTGAACAAGAGCTACTGGCCTTGAAAGAGATTGATGTGCAGGGCCACTGGCTGTGGGGCGGTGGGAACACTGGCGCTGCTGTTCGCATGCGGTATTTGAGTTCGAAGATGCGTGCAGCGAGTATGAAGATTGACGCGGCGGAAAGACAAAACGTTGAGATGAAGAAGGTGTTGATGAAGGGAGGATAGAGTTCCGTCACGTGCATGTGACACATCGTTACCTACTTTCTACTTTCCTCCATCCTCTCGCCGCCATAACTCGCTGCCACAACTTCTGCATCTCTAGCATCTACTCACTAAATCTCGCCTTCCATTTTTGGCGAAGTTAAAACACCGCCTCGAGAACTGCCAGCGGCAAAACGGTCCAAAGCTAGGGTCCAAAAATGAAGTTGAAGAACACAGGCTAGAATTTCCTAGAGTTCTTGGCCCTGTCCTCAGTTCCCAACTTGTGAAGTGGTTCTTACCGTTCACCCGGACGGCTTGTACTCGACATCCTTGTCGAGGGACTCCAAAGGGACTCTGAAGTTACTTAGCGCTAATCCTTGACATGATCTCCGCATTCTAGGACGTTAATTGCAGCGTTTAAACATACACGTTCCCGTATGACAAGATAAAAATCTCGATCTACTGGTCATTAAAAGCCAAGCCTGCCGTGCCGACCCCTCACCCCTGCTTGTTTGTCCCTCCCCAAGCAGGCGCCATGTCTCTCTCCTCCCTCATCATACTTTTTTCGACCTTCGTTCTACCTGCAGTCGCGCAGTTTAGCGGAAGCAGCAGCTCGAATCCGTATGTCGGGTTTCGGCCCGACTCAATAACGACGGTCAATTCGCCGCGTCCCTCGTCCTGCTCCAACTTACAGAATAGTATAGGGCACCTTCGCCATTGTGTGTATCTGGGCGTTCTTCTATGCCGTGCTTTCGATATGGAACTTTATTTGTCTGGTCACGGCGCGAGGCCATCGCTCGCCCCATGCCCTCCTCCTCCCCCGCCATCATTTTTTTCGGCTGGAGTAATGCCCTTTACATGACCATAATCGTGCTGCAAAACAGTCTAAACCTATCCTTCCGGTCAAGTTTACCCGACCTCCTCCTCCCCACCCTGCGATTCCTGAGTAACCTTGCCGGCGATTGGGCCTTGGTTTTATTGTTCCTCGCCATCCACGCCGTTGTCTTCAACCGCGAAACCGCGCTGCACAAAGCCACGGAGGGTAAATCGGGAGGCCACCATCCTGCACTCATCGCTCTGCACGTGACCTTTGCGTCGCTCTTGTTCATACTGGGCACCGCCGCGGAGGGGTATACTTTTGACACGAATGTCAAATTCTACAACACGACCCAGTTCAGGGGGACGCGCGGTCGTCAGGCACTGCGGAGTCGTATCAGCACGGGAAACAGTCTATTCTATGCTTTCCAGAGCTTCGTTATCCTCTCGTTCATCGATATCCTCGCCACATCGATCGTTCTTTGGCGGGGGTGGAGGAGGGCGGGAATTTCAGACCGCGTATGTCTACCATTACTGTTCCTCCGTTTAGTGCATCCACTCATTGCTGTTAGGTGACTAATGTCTTGTTCTATGTCATTACTCCGCTGTATTGCTTCATGGCGCTGTTCACAATGATCTTCACTATCGTGTTCTCGCCAAACGGGCTGCCTGACAGCGCGTCCCTCAGCACCCTGGAGAGCGCCAACCTCGCCAGCGTGCTGCTCACCACACTCTGCTCGATCGGTATCATCATCGTCATTCTCGTTGCGAGCGTGAAGAAGGGTTGGTGGGGCGAAGACGAGTTCAAGTACCCGCCTCAACAACAACTTTGGGTGCCGCAACAGCCGCAATACGTCTACGCGACTGCTCCGGCTCCAGGCGCACAGCCACAACCGGGCTACTCTGTTCCACAGCCGGCAGTCACGCCGGCCGGTTATTACGTATCACCGGCGCAGACCGGCATGCCACAGCCGGCGCTGTTGCCGCCGATGGCACCGGGCCCGGCATCGCCATATTCATATTCGAATTCGTCGCCATCGTCTCCCGGTCCAATGGAGAGCACTGTTGGCGGGTACACGCCGCCGCATTCAGAACAGGGAGTGCAGCCAGCGAAACCGGGCAAGGGAGGGATGCATTTGGCGACCATCTAAAAAGTATCCAATACCTACCACAGTTACTAAAGTGTAAAAGACCACAGAAGAAAATCAATCAAGAGTCACTAAATAATATTAACCAGGCAGAAGTCACTTTCTTGTGGTTGAACTTGTTAATCGCTATCTGTACCAACGATTGCTGAGCTTCTGTCAGAATTTATAGAGCTGTATAATGTGTACCCACAGATTAAACAGGTCCCAGTTTCCCCATGAACCAAGGCTTGCATCTAGTTCAATGCATGTTACTTGGGGAAGGGCTTCGACGTAGCGCTCTAGCTGCCAATGCGCACCGTTTCCGATGGAGAGGTGCTCCAGCTGACATTCCATCGAGCGGACGACAACGGGAACCGACAATGCGCCACCGTGACCCAGAGCATGTGGTGTAAACATCTTTTCTTCAATATGGAGGCGCCGCAGGGCGGGGGCGCGAAATGCGGTAAAGAGCTGGTATAGCTCCTCTGAGGCCGAGAAACTGGCACTGGCAATGAGCGTCTCCAGCCGGGGAAATGACAATGTGCGGGTGCCAGTGACCCAGGCAGTGCTATCCCACCCTCGGGAGGGGGCCGCAAACCGCAACACACACGCAACAAGATGCGGCGTGTGAGAAAGGATGTCAACGGCCGAGTCTACGTCTGTATAGGAGAGGTAGAGCGTTGTCAGCTGCCCCCAAGGTAGCAAGTGGTGTCTGAGGTCTGCCCTCTCCATGTCCGGGTTGCAAAGGTCAAGAAAGGCTGTTGAAAGACACGGGGCATGGAGTTGACCAATGAGCAGGTCCACATGTGTGTTTTCCGACTCGTCAAATCGGACTTCGAGGGCGCTCAGAGCTGGAAGAGAGCCTTTGATCAGTCCAGAGCGGACATTCCAGTCACAATCCGGAGGGATTTCGAGCGCAACGTGCTGCCAGCGCGCACTGTGAGAACAAAACAGAACCAGGGCCTCTTCGCAGATTCCGGGATGGCCCAATACGGATCTGCCCAGCAGAAGCGAGAGCGCCGTATTTTGCGACCGCTCCAACCACACACGCGCCGTTTGAAGATCTAGTTGAGGCAGAGTTCGGCAAGATGGTCGCGGCAGGAAAATCCCGATGGCTCGCCACAACATTGGGGTAGTAATTGCGATTTCGCGCCATAATCTACATACCTGGGCGAGTTTCGTGGGTGAGTGGTTTCCGGTCAGCGGCGGACAGATTGGATATGGTGGGACACTGAGCAAGAAAATTTTTGTCACAATTTCGGTGGGCAGAGTGAAGATCGAGGCAAGAGGCGGGTCTGTTAGTCGGAGGCCATCGATTGTGCATATGACGTTTCTACTCTTGACAGAGCCTAAAGTCGAGGTCAATTCCACTTGAGCCGTGGTAACCATCGTTCGCAAGCACTCTAATCCTCCGAGTACAACGATTCCGAGTCGGCTTCAAGTTGAATCTGACACAGGTCTCAGTATGTAGCAGTATTCAAGCTTTAGGAGTGTCAGAAGAATGGAAGTGTTGACAGGAGCCGAGGACGTCACGTGACAACACTTGATGAATATTCACTCTCAGAAGCACCAACACCACAAAAAAGTTGTGCAGCAAAGTCCCGCTGGTCCTTGAGCACTGAGTACTAGACACATTGTTGTTGTATTAATGTGCTAAAGTTCGAACGACAGAAGCTCCAACTGGGTAAGCAACCTACGCACTCCACTCGTTCCAGCCACAGTACCGCCGAAGGAAAACGGTTTCGAGGTACTTGAGAAAGGCGGTTTTCTTATTTTCGCATGTGTAGACAACCTAGTTGCTTTTCCTCCTTGAACACGATTGAGAAAGCCTCGGAAAATTGCGAGTGCGGGAACTGTGCTTTACCAAGACTTGAGAATAGCGATATTCAGTGATTAACGCGTGTATTCTACGATAGTTCAACCCTCCAGACCTTAATTACCCCTGCCCTATCTCCACTGACAACACCCGCTCGAAAAGGTGAATCAATACAGGCGAGCGCCGTGATGACATCTTGATGGGCTTTGAGCAAATTCTGCTGTGTATGCGTGATCAACGACATCCGTTGCGCGGGCCGGTTACTCTGGCTGGCTGTTGTAGCTGGGTCTGCCCAAGTCTCCACATAGGTGGACGCAGTAGTGGAGGAGAAGGAGGTATATGTCGGGCGCTCGGCCTCAGAGTCAAGGCCACTGAGGACGGTCGTTCTGTCTAGCTTGGCGAGGTCCCATAACCGGAGTTTTCGGTCTTCAGAACCCGAAATCATGAACCCTCTGCGGCCGTGCCCACCAGCCTCCACACCCTCAGCCAGGTCAGAGCGATGGACGCCAACATGACCACCGAAGTCGACACCGACGACCAAAGCACGAACATCAGCCGAGGGTGGCGGGAGAAGCTCATCGTGGAATGTACTTTGCGATGGGTCAGGCGGAATGGCTTGTCGTGAAGTAACAAGAGCAGCGATGGCAGCAGCAGGAGTCATATCTGCATCGACTCCGGTCAATTCATGCGGCTCAGCCAATGTCTCTTCTCCGCTCTGGCGCGCAACAAAGGTCTCCACCAGCAATGCCTTTTCGATGTCCCACACCTCGACCAGGTTGGTAAACGTTCGATCATTCTTCCTCGAGCCCTCTACCGTCACCATCACCCATTTCCCGCGACCTTTCGAAGGATGGACGACACATTGGCGTATCCGGACGAACCGGCCAGTTGACGCAACACCGACATGCCAACTTTTGAGCAGCAGCCCAAAACGCCGATCCCATAGCGTCAGCACGCCTGTTGAGGTTCCCACAACAATCCAAGACCGTCGTCGGTCAATGCAAAGACAAGTAATGGGGCCATGATGTCTTGGGTTTTCCATCGTTTGCACGACATCCATCGTCCTCAGATCAAGAATGGTGATATTCGAATGTGTGGTGGCATAAACGAGATGCGAGCCAGAATCTGTGTATGTAGGTTTAGTACTAGAAACCGCCGAAGAGTAAACTGACCGGTGTTATAATGGGTCATACAAGTAATGAACTCGCCCTGAGCAGCGTGCTCTACCTGGTGCCCGCGAATCACTTGCAGCTTGTTATATTTTGGCAGTGACCCGGTTTGGGTAACATGAACCCGCACAATATGGAGACTCCCATCGTCCGCCGCGCTTGCAAAACAATGTACCCCTTCAAGCATACAGACACACTTGACTTTCGCATGGTGTTGACCATAGGTGTGCCTCGGTTTCGTCGTTACATTACGCTCGAGACGTGCTGTGTCCCAAACCTTGACCGTCTTGTCGTCTGATGCGGATACAAAGAACATGTGATCAGGCGAAACGGCGAGACCATTGATGGCATCAGAGTGCGAAGTGAGGTGAGAAACAAGGGTTGCTTCTGTGTGTTTCGCGCCTTCCCGGGCTTGGAAAGTATGCCGGACCGCATTCCGGCGCCGTACAGGGCCTTCATGGACGTTGGGACCAAAATCGTTCTGCAGTTCCCGGTTATTGTCAAGATAGAGGTTTTCCAGCAGATTACTAATTCCGGCTTCTTGGCCATCTAAGCAAGATGAATCGGTTCCGTAATCAAGATAACGAGCAGAATATACGCACCGTAAGTGGAGATTGGTTGTAAGGACGGAACACGAGAACGTGTCGGACCCCGAATCGTGGTTGTCGACATTGATAGGGGTGATGTGGTGCCTGATCGTTCCGGTGATCCGTCTGATCGTAGTTTGACGCGTCCATCAAGTAATCCGATCGCATTGGTTTTCGAGGATCCTACAGCGGGAGCGGCCTTTTGACTATCCGTTGTCCCGCCCAATTGCATCCGACTTAGTGGTCGGAAAGTGGTAGAATTTGTAGTCGACACAACAGAGTCCGTTGGACTGACAGGTCTTTCGATGGGTGATGGAGCACCTACTGCGACGGCGGCAGCAGATGAAATGGAGAGGGATGGTGACATGGTAGCATTGCGTGGAGGGCTAAGAATAATGGAAGAGCTAGAGCCATTGATCGTGGCGAGACGCCGTCGCAGGTCTTCGAACGGTGCGATGCTGCCATGGTCCGACATACGGTTAGGACTAAGAAGAGGCGTGGTGAGGGCCGAAGTTCTTCGCGCGTGAGATAGTCTCCGATTGCCAAAATCACTGGATCGTGATTTGAGAAAGACCGTCTGAGGTACAACACCCAGTTTCGGTAGCTCGATGTCCCCGATAGATTTAAGGTTCTTGTCGGCTTCTGGCTCGAAACTAACACGAGACGCGAAACTGAGAGAGATGTTAGAATCGATTCATAATGGTACATGAACAAACCTGGAAGTTGCGTTGGCTAGCCTGATAATATACTCTCTCATTGCGAGCAGCTTGACCTCTTCTGTTGAGGTCATTCCTAGTTGTTGAAGCTTAGCAAACTGTGCATCGTCCCTAGATGGTAATTAGTAAGGCAAGGGAATAAGCCATAGACAACACGTACTCGTCTGACTTCGGACCACGAGAAACGGTGCCAGTCTTGCGAAGGGACAGGACACTCTCCCGAGGCGACTCGTTCCTACTCGGAACTCGCCGCTGTCCTCGCCAAAAAGAGCTTTTGTCCGACTTCATTGCCCATTGCACGGCGGCGTCAAAAACTTGGCGCGATAACTTGATCAGGTTTAGTTCGAGCTTGGAGTTCCACTCAAAATACTGACGGGAGGCTTCATTGCTGACAAAAGACTTTGCTCATCGAGAGTAACGATATCAGACTTGAGGAAATGACGGAGAGATGGGTAAATGATACACCATGCATCGCTTTCAGGAAGGTGGGATGTTGCACAAACGATAAATGCAGCAGCACCTGAAAATGTTGAGCATCAGCCAAAACGAAGGACGACTTCATACCCTGTCGTATCCACACATTGGGATGGTATAAAAAACCCAACGTGTTCGTCATGAGCTCCCAAATCCGCATCTTCTTGAAAAGGCCAAGCTCGCAGAGACTGGTCAACGCTACAAGAACTTTGGCGACGACAGTCTCCTCCACATCTATGCCTGGCGGTGAACGGTCGGAATTATGGATGAGGACGGGGAATTACCGGAGAGCGCTTGTATCATCAACGGCAATATGTACTCCTCCAAACTCCTGCCTCCTGCGCAAGCGACGACATCCACGATACTCTCAAAAAACGCATAACGAAGCAACCAGTCGCGGTCATTGAGGTAGGTGATCATGTGGCTTAAAACAACATCGTTGGTCTTTTGCCACCCTAAGAACACACACATCGACGAAATGTTGTGGAGAACGGATCGCTTCACGACACTGGAGGAGTCCATTAAAAGGGCGGACAAATGTTCTTGGATGTTGTTTTGAAGGTCTTGCATGCTCGCGTCGTATGAAACCTGAGAAAAAAACAAGTCAAACAGTTGAAGATCGCAGACTTGAACGTAACAACTACCTCAAATCTCGCGTTATCATACTCTTGCTGGGCGACCGCTTCTGGAGCGAGCTTGAACGTCCCGTGGGCCTTTAAAGCCTGCCCCATCTCCAAGTAACGCACTGCAGTATCGGCCAGATGGACGATGCATTGCGCATACGTACAACGAACGGAAACTTCGGGGTCTTGGACAACATATTTGATGTTGGGTAAGATGTATTCAGGAAATATCAGGGCGTTCGATGGAGTTATAACGGTGACCATCATGAGCTAGAGCCATTGTCAGGAATAGATAGGTAGAAGATCAAAGGGCACTCACCACTTGAACCATAGTGCGCATGGCTGCAGAACGAACTGTTGCTGAGTCATCGTGGAGTAGTTCGACAATGTATGGCAGCATCCTGTCGAGCTTGGCTTCGTCCGTAAGATGAGACGCTAGTGCCAGAAAGACATCTAATGCTTGGACTTTGGAGCTCGGCAGAGCACAGTTCCGGACATTCGCAGTGACCAACGCCAAAATGATAAGCGCAGGTCCGTCTAAGGAACAACCTTCAACTCCAAGGAACGTGGAATGGACTCGACATACCTTCAGATGCGCGCAAGCCTTGGTTGAGAGTTCCACGAAGCTTGGATTCCCGATTTGGGATGTGAATCTCAATCGGTAGAATATCCTAGCACGATCGGTGATCATCGGCAAGGAAGCGGGAATCACGGACCTGGAAAGGACGGGACATCCCGATAGTCGAGTTATACTCGACCTTCACATCCATCACCGTTTCTTCGGCGGATTCGGGAATAAGGTAGGTTTCGACGCTTTCATAGTCTGCCCAGATCCTTTCCATTCGATGGTCGGAGTCGCTTGGCAGCACATCGGTAGACGACTCGATGACCGCCGTGGGATTGGGGTTCAGTGATGAATTCGATCGCAGGTTGGTTCCAGAAACGGTGGGAGTAAGAGGCCCGGGAGTTTGGGTAGATGACGTCGTATTTGAAAAAGGCGGATTAGAGGGAAGGTCGTTGACGGAGGACACGTAGTTGTGCAGGAATGAGTAGAATGACTCTGGGAGGACAGATCCTCGAGAAGTATGCAACAAGGTGTCGAAAGTCGGCCTCGCACTGGGCTCGAGACTGATCATTTGCTTGATCACATTCTACTGTCCACCCTAAGATAAAGCCACTTCGAAAAACGATGGACTCACCCGGATACCCTCGTCTTCGATTGGCGCAAGATAGCTGTCGACGTTATATTGGCCATCACGATAATTGAAAAGCTGGCTGAGAGTGAAAAGCGGTGCCCCTTCAAGGAAGAGCTCTGCAATAACACAACCAGCACTGAAGCAGTCCATCGCTTCTGTGACTTTCCCGTCGCGTTTGCCCTCCGTCTCGTCTAGCTTGGATTTCTTCGCGCTGATATCTGGATTGTTGGCGGCTGTATAAAAACGTTCCGGTGCAATATAGCAAATTCGACGTCCTGAAGTATCAAAGTAGAACGAGAAGTCGGAGGGATCTTCGAGTGGTAGGTAGGTCGGTTTGTAGGATGCAAAGTCGGACAGGTAGACCCAATTCCACGATGTGACGAGGATATTCTCCGATTTAATGTCTCCATGAGATACCTTGCGGTTGCGTGCGTCGCGGAGGGCGTTTAGAAGTTGAAAGGTTATCCATTTTTTCTCTATTATGCTCAAGAACGGGCGGGTACTGTGGAAGTTAAACAAATGCAGGCGCGCAAGACCGGTACACACCTTATCCGGTCATACAGACTGCTCGCAATCCATTGTCGAACGATATACCCCGCCCTCTCTGTCTCCACAAATGACTGATAGTTGTACACATTCGCAATGTCCGTCAAAGCTTCCCGGTCGGCTTTCCGAGACTGAGCCAGACACAGAGCTGAGAGCTAGTCACTCACCTTTCAATCTTCGATGGTAGTTGCGCAACGACAGGCCAGGGTCGGGTTTGATGAAGACTTTGACAACAAGATAGCTATTTCGATGTCGGCATTTCACTGTTTTGAGAAAACGCGCGGATCCTAAGCTTCAGAGAGTCATTTTGGCCCATGAGGAGAGGCTAAACAAAGTACCTCTTATCGTAGATGATGTCTGAACCAAGTTCTGCGACGAAAGAATCGAGTGCCGCAGTAGTACGTGTGAAGGTCGAGCCTGAGTGAGCATTGCCCATGTCGGATGGATTAGGTTTGGATAGTCCGATATAGGACGGTAGATGGGCTTAGTATATTGTCTTCATCCAAGACTTCGCCAACCAGATCCACGTTTGAGAAAGGGAGGCGTAATGGTGGTCACACTTGTCACATCACGCGTTGGATTGCCCAAGATGAACTCAAACGTTCAGGGTCGGTTCACTAGGGCGCTGCCTGAGCCAGACTACAGGCAGCGCGACTACTTATCACGAAGAAACGATTCCACTCTGAAGTTGTGTCGGGATCGAGCCTGTGAAGTTGCTTTGTGTTGCTCACATTTACCGACTCGATTCTCACGCAAACGGGACTGGCTTCCACTACTCTATGCCAACCAACTCAATGTTACTTCAAGTCAGTGCGCTTATCGACATAGCAACTTGTAGCTCTTGGTCGACTACTCCGAGCAAGCTTTGAGCTTCGCAAAGTCCTGGTGAGATACATTATAAGGAGCTACATACAAACTAAACGAACAATAAGTAGGACAATATTATACTACAGGGCACGTAAATCGCGCAATATATTTGCAATGTTTTCTTCGACCCATCTCCGGGAACCCTTCTCACGCACCCAACGTCGCGAATATTGTCTGACAGGAAACTCGCAGTGAGTATTTCCGGCTGTCAGCACAAGGGAGTAATGCGCGCCGTCCTCTGTCGAGCTCTCGTCCTCGTCGTCTGACTGGGGCGAATCCAGATCGAGCAGCTTTTGGACTGCGACAACAGTTTGCGCGTAGACTTGAGCCTCCGCCACTTTCCCACCACCTTCTTCCAGGATTTCCAGCTGGACCGATTGGCCTAAATGTCGTCGCAGATTGGATATTCGGCGATGCTGGATGGTTTTGGGCGACAGGGCTTCCAGGTCAAGTGGTGTACTCGGACCTGGGCTTATATACGGCTCAGGTATGTTGTCGACGCTGGGGGAGAGCACTGGCGTTGTTGGTATCTGGACTTGCAACGAAAGGGACGCAAAACGCGGTTGACTTGGTTGTCCATCCAGATGTGGAATGAGCTTTGAGCTCGTCCTGGACTTGGGAGGCGGTGTAGGACCTCGCTCTATCATGGGGGCCTGTGATCGTGAAGTTAAAGGACGCGGACCCAAGGGCAGTTCAATCGCTGGTGGTCGTAATCGCGGCTGAATAGGTGTTGCCATTGGCCGTGGCGTTTTGGGGTTTGGTAATGCTGGCAAGGGTCGGAGAGATGCGTGTGAGATCGCACGTCTAGGTGCGAGGGGAGTAATTGCAGTCGACGCGGAATACGAAGGAGCAGCAGACGGAAGTTGGGGAAGAGGTCGACTAACATGAGGGAGAGGCCGGGCGATTCTCGCGCCAGTAACAGGAGCAGAGTTAATTCTTCGAGTATCCCAGGAAGATGAGGTTGCACGATCGTGGGCTATTTCTGACGCGCTGAATGCAGAGCGGAGGATGGGGCGTTCGCTATTTTTTCGGAGGGAGTATACGACCGCCACCATATTCGGTCTGCCTTCGGCATTCATGGTAGAGAGTGGTGGTAGACTGAGAGAAAGTGAGGGAGAGCAAAACTTGCGCTGGCCCATCGCAGTGCATATTATTATAGGCGACGCCTGCGATATGTTGCGGCAGAAAAAAATCTCAACGGATCGGAATCCGTCAAACAGTGCTCATGATCGTTGACTTCAGCGGTTTTTGCCGAGCCCAATCTGCGAAGGTGGTTCGGCTGTTGTTCGGCTGCGGCGCTTATGTTTTCTGCTGACGCTGCCGCTCTGCAAACATCCTCGCAGCCCGACGCATCTCGGACGCATCCATCTCCGGGAGTTACAACACTCAGAAATTGCTCAGAAACATTGTCAAACAACGTCAACTCGCACTGTATAGTTTACAAAGCACTAGCAACGCGCGGAGCTCAAACTCCGCCAATGAAATATTTACCAGGAACGAAGCACACACAGATCCCAGATAATAGCCAGCGGCTTGTACTGGCTTGTACATATCAACGTTAACATTCACTTGCCGAATAGTGTCTTTTCCCTGCATGACGCATTAGCCACAGAAGTAACGGGCTCGCTGACCGCAAACTCACGAGAAGAGCCATAGATTTTGCGGGTTATTGTACGTCTCCGATGTATAGGCAAATCGAACTGGGGAAATGTTGTAACTTAGCCCAAGATCTTGCTGACTACCTATGCTTATGCCAGTGGAACACCGCTTACATTTTGGCAGCTCAGAAACGTATGCTGTACACAGGTATTAGCCATGATCTATGCTCTTTTGAGAACGGTGTCGTCCACATACCAATAGGGAGCCGCTCGTCCACGAAACTCCATGCTTTGGTTCGGTGTTGAGTAACAGCAACAGAAGCCCAGAAAGTGGATTACGGACCGGCACGCCAATTGTGACGGAAATTTCCGGAGACAAGTCTGCAATCAGCATGACGTCAGCGGGGACGTCGCAAACGAGGCGCTCAACGCACAAATCTGCGGGGGCGAGTGGATCCTATGTAGAGGCTTCGTTTAGTAATTCGTGGACAGAATTTGGAGGGCAATGGTCTGTATAAGTATAGGGTCGAGTTCTCTGAACCATTGACATGCCGGAGGCAAAAGTGACCATGACATCGTTTACATAAAGCTTAGGTAAGGAATCGACTCACATCCTTCAGATTGGCGGTTTTGATTTCTGAATCAATATCGATCCTGGAAAATCACATCAGCTCCAACTTGGACCCGCAAACAAAGGAAACCTCGATACCACTCTAAAACTTGGTTCCCTGCCATACCTGCAACGAGAATAAAAAGAAAGCAGGCATAAAAAGCGACCCACCCTTGAATTGCACGTCTTCGTTAGGCTTTCCACCGAACACAGCTATCTTTGTCTGGTGCTTTTCGAACATCAGTGTGCTGAACATCGCGCAAGTCGAGGCGCAATTCCCGTTCGACACTACACTCCTTCAGTTCGAGCTCAGGTTGAAACAAGGTGTCACTACCAATAGCGATATTCCTGAGTCGTAGCCTCGGTGAGATTTTCAAGTTATGGACTGAGAGGACTGACCTTAAATCGATTGGCGGGGTTTTCGGCATTGGGACGTCAAAGCTGAGTTCACAGGTATCCTGCCAGATTTTGAACGATTCGTCAACATGAATCCGAGCCTGGATGACCCCGTACATGAAAACGCTGTGAAGTCACGTCGTTTTTTCCGTTCACGACGAGAGGGACGTCGGGATCCATGTAGTTGTAGTTGGCCGGCATCTGAGTTCCATTGAGAAATGCCCCTGGCAACGAGTTAGCGATGTCTCGACGTCTTGAAATGGCACGCCAAACAGTTATCCGCTGTGTAGAAGCTGAGTTGGTCTGTGAGGCCGAGTTTGATATCGGAAGCCACAATTTTTCGGGCCAGTGGATTAGCTCTGTTGGTCGACTGGAAGCCTGGATATCCTATGATGGTCCCCGCGAGATACGAATGTAGAAATTGGCCGAGGCAAACGAAGCCACCTTGGGAAATATGATTAGCGACACAACGGGATGATTCATGGATGCTTGCCGCCGTTGTTTGTCAGATCGATCATCAATTGCGTGACACCGGAGGCCTTGAATATCTTGAAGGCAGCTACAACGTCTGTTTGGAATGTGCTAAAGTTGCCGCCAAAGGAGCCAACAAAAAGCTGAAAAGCGGCAAAACAATAAGCGATGACTCAGAGAAGGAAATTGCCGAGCATACCACTCCAGTACGATTTCCTGGTAGAACATAAGCTTTCATAATGCCTTGATTATCTCCTTGAACTGGAAGAGTTGGCTGGAACTGGGGAGGAAGACCAAAAGCGCTAGAGACGCTCTTATCTACAATGCTTGCAATGGGTTCTCTTCGGCGCCGCATTGGACTGGGGACAATCGAGGGGTTTTTGAAGTCGACACCATTCGTTTCGTCATTCGCAACACAGTTATTAGCCCAGCTAGCATTTTGTTAACAAACACAGAGTATTTCGGTGACACGAGTCGAACACACAAAGACTCGCGGTTAGTGAAAGCCGCCCCCGCGAAGTTCGCAATATAGGGGAGGGTGATTGCCTCTGCTTTGGTCGATCCATTGACGATAACTTGCATATTGATGGAACTGTGAGCGACACCTGTGGGTCCTGCAAGGTCACCTAGCTTGGTGTTAATATGAGCCTTGAAATGTAGTTATTGCTTGTAGCTACCAAATCGCTGAGAGTATGTGGCACCGACAAGTCGATAGGAACTGAAGACGGAGTTGACGCGGACACCGTGGTCAAGGTAGTTTCCTGACACAGTTTTCGCGACAAAGTCGACATATTCATATGGGTCTTGTCCTTGTATGGAAACCACCTTAGCGCCCGCAAGTCGTTGCCAGTCGATTGTGATAAGATTGGTGTAATTTGCGCCGAGTGAGTTGATGAAATCGACAAGGTCTGGGATGATATAGACTCCTTGGACTCCATTTATCTCCAAAGACACGATGGGAGCTGGAGCAAGACTCTGATATGACGTGTAGCAGTCAGGAAACCAGCCTATCATTGGACATGAGTCTCTGAGACTATCGACAAAACCTCCACGCACGGGTATGTCCGTCGTTTAGCTGCGTGATCGTGGTATACAAGTCCCAGTTGAAATCATAGTCTGTCTGGCGAAAGTAGGTGTCAAAAATAGACAAAGGTCACGAGGCGCACCGCATATGTGGTCGTATTGATTCGTGCGAGCTCGGCCCGGATGTTTGATGTAGATTCTTGGAAGGGAACGGGAGACCGCAGATAATAGTCTTCAAAGGTGAAGAAGTCGAAAACTCGAGCGATATTGTGGGTAAGGACGTTTTGGCGGAGGGTCTCGTTGAAAGGAAACGACTTGAGACATGCCAGTGCATCTGGTGCCAACACAAATGATTTCCCTGCAATGGCTGCACATGGATCGCCCGCCACTGGAAGAGAGACCGACAACGATACAGCAAGAGCAACGAGGAGTCCAACCACAGACTTCATGGCTGTCCAAGAAGGGGAGTGC